GAGACACACTCCCTAGCTGCTCATAGATCCAATCAAGTTGTCAAGATTAACCATCACACATAGCATAAGGTAGACACCAACCTGTAGCCACAAAACAGGTACATATATCTGTAGACACATCTGCACCCCTCTGGCCCCAGTACAGTCAGTCCTAGGCCTGGGCTTGGACTCAGGCACTGTAGGTCCCTGACAAAGACACCAGGCATTTCTGCAAGCTCCCTGGGCAGACAGGAAGTCTGGAAGCATAAAGCTGAGCTGATCACTATTTTGCAACTGTCCACACAGGGACCGTATGCAGAAGGCCCCAGGAGCACTGGCCTGCCTCAGGTCCCAGGAGGCAAGGTAGAAACTTACATTTTCACATTCAGCCTGCCTCTCTTGTGGAGGAAGATGCCTACTGTGTTAGGAAGGTATCTACTATGTGACATTGGGATGAGAGACTTATTTTTAAAATCGGTTCCTTGTGACATAGGGGTAATTAGTCGCATCACACCTGTGCAGTTAAGGGCAGGCAGACGCAGTGGATGGAAGTGGACACCATTGTGGGTGACAAGGAAGCTTTACGAGAAGAGACCATTTGTGAGTTTCCTCACAAGAGATATTTACTGTTCTTATCACCAGTTGTCTGTCTCTCCCTGGTTCCTGGCCACAGCTAAGGGGTGACAGTCCTCTGGATTGGAGATGGAATTTATAAACTAAGCTGAACTGATCGGGGCATTCCACATGAACAGTTTTCCTTCCTGTCATCATTGTGGCTGCTTCCCACGGAAACACCCTCTTTTGTGTTAATGGATTAAAGGTGGAGGGTTTTTTTTGTTTTGTTTTGTTTTTCTTCCTTTTGGGAGACAAGATCTTACCATGTAGCCCTGGCTGGCCTAGAACTCACAGAACTTCATTTGCCTCTGACACTGAGATTAAACACTCTCAGCTGTTTAATCCTCTCTTTAAATTTAAATTTTATTTGTGTGTGTGTGTATGTACAGAGCCACAGAGGTCAGAGGAGAACATCCAGGAGGTGGTTCTTTCGACCACATAAATCCCAGGGCTCAAGCTCAGACAGACTTTCAGGATCCGCAACAAGCACCTTTATCTGCTGAGCCATATGGCTGGCCTCTGGATTTTATTTATTTATTTATTTGTTTACTTATTTTTGCTTTTTTTGTGAGGGAGGGAAGGGTATGGGGGAAAGGAGTGGTTTTAGTTTTTTTGCTGATTTGAGACAGAATCTCACTATGTGGTCCCGGCTGTCCTGAACTCACGATGTAAAACAGGCTAACTTTAAACTCACAGACATCGCTTGCCTCGCCTCTGCCTCTGTCTCCCAGTTGGGACTAAATCCAACTGAGGAGTGGATTTGGGTCTCTTGTAGCCCAGGTTGAGCTGGGGATTCTCTTACTGGTGAAAGAGCCCTACTTTCTTTTTACTTTTTGTTTCTTTTTTCCTAAGTGTCACTGAGAGGTACCTTGCACTCAGAGGAGACTGGGCTGGGCATGGATTATCACATTTGCAGGGTGTTCTCCCTGTTGGATAACCCTTATCATTTACCTTGGCTCTCCAATAATTTGGGATGCTGGCAGCATCTATGGTACATGTATTTTTCTCTCTTAAAAACTAATGTATACTAATTATATAAAACAGTGATATTAATACATGTATATAATGTACTTTGATCAGTATTTTTTTAAAGAACTTGATAAATACTTCTCATAGATTGAAATTTTCTTTTTACGTATCATGCATATCATTTTCTTTTCTTATTCATTTTTCAAGGCAGAGTCTGGTATATCTCTGGTGGGCTTTGAATCCATTCTGTGGCAGTGGATGACTTTGAACTTCTGATCCTCCTGCCTTTACCTCCCAAGTGCCGGGAGTACATTTTTGCTCTCTGTTTTGAGACATCTGAGGGTTCCTCTCAGCTCCCCACTACTGTGAATCTTCACCGGGACTGAACTCACAGGGTCTCATTCTGAGCTCTAGTCCAAGGCCTGACCAAAGCCTGATGGTAACGACCAGTGCTGACCACAGGCATGCTGGCTCCTGCTCTAAGGCTGATATCACCTGGTCACGGCTACTGAAGCTCCCAGGGAGGAGCTGTTGCCCTCTTTTGCTGATGAGGAGATGGAGCGATAGGGAGGTGAGGCTGCTTCCTGAGAGCCCTGGAGCCAAGCTTAGCTTGCCATGAGCACAGCATTCAAGTAGCATGCCGGGATGGTTGACTCCTGGCGTTGTTCTCGGTTCAGTGAGAGAGCCTTGTATGGGACTTGAAACCAGAAAGAACAGCACTTCACTAAGTCACCGTGCAGTATTTACTGATGATCAGATCTGCTCCCCAGCACGTACTGAGTAGGCCACCAGGCAGGCTTTGTGTCATTCCACACTGACCAAGGAAACTTCATATCCCAGCCTGCTCTTCCTGTATCCCTCACATCTGCTAACTTCTGATGACTGTATCAGTTCCTATTTCCTAAGCCTCTCAAACAGTCTCTGTCCAGGAAGAAAATCTGCTAAATCATTGCTGTTCTCTGTTTATTCCATAGGGCTGGGTGTGTGACTCAGTTGGTGGAGTGTTTGCCTAATACACACCAAGTCCCGGGTTTCAGCTTCATAAAGCAGGTGTAGTAGTGCAGGCTGTCATCCCAGCACTCTGGAGGTGGAGACAGGAACAGGACTGAACCCCTTGCAACACTATATCATGTAACCATGCTACCCTTTTAATAACTTCGAGGGGTCGGCACTATTACGGATTTTAGAGAGGCTCCCAGACCCAAAAAGACACAGATTGTGTCTCTGTGAATGAGAGCTGAACTGGTTGGTCTACATAGCAAGCTCTAGGCCAGCCAGGGCTGAACAGTGAGACGCTGCTGGCTGCTTCAAAACTAAACAAACAGAGCAGAAAATTCCACAGGCACCCCAGCAGACACACACAGCAGGAGTCGCAGGCTGGAGGGGGCATGCATTCCTGGGGCTGGAGACAACCATCAGTTGATAACAGTGTTTGTTTCTTTGTGGGTGTGGGTCAGATGTCAAAGGTACGCAGGTATGCGCATGGGGGCAGAGGTCAACCTCCGGTGCTGGGCAGGGGTAATTTCTCAGGACTTGCTTATCTTGCTTTTTGAAACCAGGCCTTTCACTGGGACCCAGAGCTTACTGATTAGATCAGGTGGCAGGGTTCTGTGGCTCTCTGGGTCCCAGCAGCCCCCACCCCCAGACCAGGCTTTTTATGAGGGAGTTGGAGATAAACACTCATGCTTGCAAGGCATGCCCACTGCTGTCTTCTCAGGCCAGGCTGAGGGCTCACACTCAGAGATCTGACTGTCTCTGCTGGGATTGAAGATGTGGGCTATCACTTCCTGCCTAACCCTAACCCTTCTGTGTGTTTTGTTGATCCATTGACTCACCGGTTCTAGCCGCTTCCTTAGAACCACTGACTGCTGTGTGAAGCTCTGCACCAACAACTTTAAGTAAAGTTTTCAAAAATCTGCGGCAAGGGTATGGTGCTATGAAAAGTCTGTGATCACCACTGAGAGCAAGCCACAGGTGCCACAGCAGCTGCTTGCCTAAGCGCACAGATGAAGTCACATGATTTCAGCAGGAGACTGTACGAAATGAAAATGAAGTAGTTTTACCCCTGCACAGGGATTCCCTGGTTAAAAGCCTCTCCTTTGTCACTTTATAGAAACGTCAACTGTGCAAAGTTATGTAAAAACAAGAAGGAACATAGAAGGACTTTCTGGTTGATTGTGTTTGTGTGTATCTCTAGAACTGTTAACAAAAATCCATTTTGTGTCTATTAAGTACATCTAGAAAACGTGTAAGAGTATCTCAAACGGAAAGCAAGAGGAAGACAAATGCTGGTCACTTGCAGTCCCTGCACGAGGCAGGAGAGCAGCCAGGGCAACGAAGGAACTTCCAAGCCCGCTTAGGCTGCATAGTGGGTGAGACCTCATCACTTAGAAAATAATAACAATAATAAGGAAAGAAAGGAACTGAAAAGAAAAGGATAAAAGAGAAGGGGCCTATGCAAGGGTGTTGGCCAAGACTTCTTCCTGCCCCTGCTGGTGACGGGAGAACAGGTAGAGTCGCCTCAACAGCCCTGACAAAAGTCGAAGACCCTTTCTCCTGCCACTTGTCAGCGTGCTGGCCACTGCACCGGCTGGAAGGTGGGGCTGCCTTTCAGCGAGACCCGAATTTTTTCCCTAATCAGCTGTGCGTGACCCCTAGTCTGTTTGTAACTTCTTTGATCCTTCCTTTCCTCGTACGGGGCTCTTGACTAGAATCCCCAGGTTCTCCCGTTGTTCACCCAGGCCGCATTCGCGCGACCCTTTGCCGCTGACCCACCGCTGAGAGCTGGGAGTAAAAGCACTTAGAGCAACAGGCGCTGGAGGCGGAGATTGGCAGATCCTGGGGAGGGATGAGCGGCAGCTGCGCCCGGGGCGGGACCATCGCTCAATCGGGCTCAACGTCACCATCATCATCATCGCCCGGGATAGAAGGTAGGTGACGAATCCGGGCTTCGGAAGACACGCGCTCCCTTCCTCTCTCCACTCGGACAGGCAGGGTTCTCTACCGCAGCCACGTTTCTGACAAGTACCCAGCACTCACACTTGATAGTTCAGATGCAGAGTTTCCAGATTTTACAGTATGGTAGAAGTTGGTTATGACCACCACAGTCGCTTGGCTTCATTTCCAACATGTGTCAAAAACGAATGTTTGGTAAAATGGACAGGCTACTTCCCTCGACCGCGGCAGGACTCGAACCTGCAATCTTCTGATCCGAAGTCAGACGCCTTATCCATTAGGCCACGCGGCCGACGGCAGCAAAATACCTTTGCTTGACTTAAAGTATCAAACCGCCTGCAGGCTCTTTTTTTCTCTCTCTCTCTCTCTCTCTCTTTCCAGCCCGATCCATCTTCTCCAGGCGGAGGGGGGATTGGAGGGCCCACCCGGAAGTCCCTCTCCCACCCCCGCGGGCGGGCGGCTCCATTGGCGGCGCTCCTATTGGGCACTTGGGGAGGGTCCCGCCTGCCTCGGGGTAGCCGCGGGACCTGGCTCGCGCACACGGGAAGTTGCGGCTGCTGCTGAGGCCACAGGCTACCCGGAGGCTGCGTGGGCCGCTCGGAGCGGACGCCGCGTCGTCGTCACTGGGGCTGCGGCAGGTCGGGAAGCGCGAAGCAGATCGAGGTTTCCGGCGGGCTCGGCAGCGGGAGGCCGGGCACGGAGACGCGGCTGCTCCCTGTCCAGTCAGGGGACGCGGCCCGGGGCAGGGCGGCGGCCGGTCCCAGGGCGCGCCGCGCCGGCGGCGGCGGCTGCAACGACTACCCGGTGTCCCGGCGCGCGAGGGTGGCCGCCGGCGCCCCAAGCAGGGCGCCCTGGGCCAGCCCGGGTGTGGGTGGAGACCCCGGGGGCTGTGGCCCAGCCGGCGGGTTCGAATCCGGGCACTAGGCCCTCGGGCCGCCGGCGGTTTGGTACTGGCCACTGCTGTCTGACGAGCGCCCGTCTGCTGGAGTCAGGGCCGCGCAACGAGCGCGCCCTCTGTCACTCACAGCCTTACCCCGTGACTCGTACAGACCTTAACCCTATTTTACAGAGGAGGAGGATGGGGCCTAAGGAGTTTGCCCAAGGTCACGCAGTTGGAGAGCCGGAACTCTGATCTGCGTCTCCCTCTTCCAACATCCCCGCAGCTTCTTCAGATTCACTGATGAGCCTGTGTGGCTCTTTGCTCAGGAGGGGCAGTGCCATTTATCCTAAGGTTGTTGGAGGCATAACAGAAAACGTACCTGGCCTTTTGGCTAACTAAGATCAAGTGGAGAGAATGCTTGGGACGCAGCAAATGTTCCACGAGGGATAAGCTGTTGGTACCAGACACGACACATGTAATAATAACACTTTATCGTCTATCTCCTTTAGGATTTGTGTGAGGAAGGCAGGCATGGTGAGACCCATTTCACTGACAGGAACGCAGAGAGGGCCCGTTTCTCTCTCTGAGTCTCTCGGTCAGTAAAAGCAGTCAAGCTGGAGCCCAAGGCCAGGTGTCCCGACTCACAGCGGGGGGCTCCCTGCACCAACCATGAGCCGCCTGCTCTGGAGGAAGGTGGCGAGCAGCAGGATCAGCTCAGGGCCAGTTCCAGCAACAGGACGCAGGGTCTCCAGCTCCGTCCTCGCCCCCGTCCCCAGCGACGGGCAGCCGCAGTCGCAAACGCCCTCTTCGGAGGACGGGCAGCTGCGGCTCAACCCTCTGCTCATCCAGATGCTCTCGAGAGGGCTGCACGAGCAAATCTTCGGGTGCGGAGGGGAGAGGCCCGACGAGGCCGCGGTGCGTCGCAGCATCAAGCACCTGCAGAAGCACGGGCTCTGGGGGCAGCCGACCACGCCCTTGCCAGACGTGCAGCTGAACCTGCCCCGGCTCTTAGGGGGCAACCTGGACCAGCACTTCCGCCTCCTGGCCCAGAAGCAGAGCCTGCCTTACTTGGAGGCGGCCGCCTCGTTATTGGAGGCCCAATTGCCGCCCCAGCCCGGGAGCTGGGCCTGGGCGGAGGGCTGGACCCGGTACGGCCCCGAGGGGGAGGCCGAACCCGTGGCCATCCCCGAGGAGCGGGCCCTGGTGTTCGACGTGGAGGTCTGCATGGCAGAGGGAACCTGCCCCACCTTGGCGGTGGCCATATCCCCCTCGGCCTGGTAAGTGAGGGTTAGGAACAGGGAGCTACCATTTATTTGTAGGGGGCCCAGTTAGACGGTTTGGTGAAGTTTCTGAGTTCCTGCTGTGTGCTCATTTAAGGACTGTTGGTGTGGTGAACTAAACCCGCTTAATCCTGCTTTTGTGGGGCTCACTCTGGTAGAAAGATACACAGGCTCTAGACAACACCCAAGCGAATGTCAGGAGCCATGCAGAGAATCACAGTGTTGTGTTTGAGACAGACTGAGAGACCATTAAGACGACCACGAGTTTGTGCCTCGATCCCTGGCCCCTAGGAGCTTCTGTGAGAAGTCAGTCTGAAAAGTGTTTGGCTTTGGGAATGCCGATGGTTATTTTGGCAGGCAGATGTTCTTGGTGGGATTGTTCTAGGCAGTTTAAAATGCTCAGCGTCCCTAGTGTCTTCCATAAATGCCAGATCAGATCCTCAGCCTTTTCCAAATGGCCCTGGAGGTGGCCTGTCTTGACTGCCCCCGGCTGAGACAACTATTACTTCCTTATCAAGCAGACATTTTGGTCCCAAACAGGTATATCCAGTCTCTCTCTTTTCTTTTAAATAACTTTCTAAGTGCTACCCAAGTTTCTTTTTCAAGCAATGATGGCAGTACTGTTTCTCCCCCCCTTTTTTTATTCTTCATTCCAGGATTAAAATACTATTTACAACCTTAATGCTTTCAGGCATGGCCAGCAAAAAAAAAAAGTTGGCAGTTTCTTTATTCCTATTGGAAGCTACATCTTTGTAAAGAAAGCTGCGAAATGTTATATATGCAGTTGAAAATGGTGAAAGCATGGCTAAATAGCTAAGGTAGGCATCAATGGCTAAAAAGAGCAAATCTAGATGACTTTGCATTGATTTAGCTGAAGTTGTCATAAGAACCACGGTGCTTATGTAACTCGATGGCCAGAGTCAAGGGGAATCCCAGCCATCAGTTGAAAAGATAAAGTAGGCTTTGGTGGCTGGAAAGAAGCCAGTGACAGTGAGTTTTTTAGACAGTTGGTCATTTTTTGGACACGTCAAGTCCTCTTTTCTCTTCTTCCGCCTTCCTCACTTAACTTCTTTCTCTTTTCCTTCTCATTCTGCCTCCATTCTCATTCCATCTTGCCAGTGGTACTGGGGCATCACTAGTTTGCCTGATGGCAGAAGCCAGTGCTGAGGCTTGAGTTTACGCAAAGACCTTTCTCCTAGTAGTCTGACTATTGTGGTTGTAGATGGTGCCTGGATAGTACTCCACATTTAACCTGGCCTGCTCTGCCACATGGTTGTATAACGTGACCAGCTCACAGCTTGTAGCAGTTGGGTAGAAGCCTGGACAGCTGTGTTTCCCATAAGGTAGCTTCCCGCAGGCTTTTGGTAAGGCCTTTGGTCAGTCATCTGCCTAAAGGGTTACCACCCAGGCCTTGGCAATTGAGAGTCCAAGGAGACCTTTAGTATTGATGGATCATCTTAATTTTGCCTTGCTCCTCCCCCCCCCCCCCCCCCCCGCTCTTTTTTTTTTTGTAAAATTGCTAGTAAGTTTATAGTAAGATGGCTCCACAGACAGCAGCAGGCCTGTGTCTAGACACCAGTGTGGCCTTTGTTAACTGAAGTCCTTGTCATCTTCATAGTTTCAAGTATTTAGCATTCTTGAGCCCTTGCTTCTGTTGTTTCAAAGGGCTTTGACCTGATGGGGTAAAAGAGGAAGGAAAGCTTGAGTGCCTCATGCAGTCCCACCATGAAGTATGCTCTAGAGTTTGCCAGGTTGAAAGTAGCTAGTTTTGCCATTGGATCGTGCCCGTCTTCCCCCAAAGACTGCAGGGCGCACCATCGAGCTGTATTGTGTACTGTATGGCCCCAATCCTTTGGAATGGTGTGTGGCTGGTAGCAGGCTTTTTGTCAGTGACCATTCTCCCCACTTTGCCTTGGAACCTGGAGTCAGTGTTGTGTGTCTGTGTCCGCCCCCTGCCCCCAAAGGCAGACAGCACTCATTCTGTCTCTTCCACATCCACCCTGCACATGTACATACATTCTCTCATCATGGCGTGCTCTGTGGCATCTCACTGAGGGTGGCTGCTCCTGGAAGGCTCATGGTTGGTTTTTTCCCTTGAAAATCTCTGCAGCCCTCAGACAATTCACCCTATATGTGCATGCAGTGTTTGTCATTAGTTTTCTTTTTTCCATTTTCAATTAAAAATTCTCCATTTTGGGTTGTTTTACCAGCGCTCTCTCTCCTTTTTTAGCCCTTGGAACACTAGCTGTTTTGTGTTTAAAGGAATAAGGGGTGGTCATAGCTGCAGACTCAGCTCTGGGCCTGCACACCATTCTGCACAGGCACCCACTACCATGCATTTAGCTCCTTGTTAATCTGTGGGAGTTAGATAGTAAAGAAGCTTTATTATTCCTTTCCCCAATGATTCCCTGACTTGTGTGAGTGAGTAGCACCCTTGGGGACCTGGCATGCAGTGGGTGGTGTGGAACAGAAGTCTATTCCTTCATAATAAACCTGCCCACTTCTCATCTCCTTCAGGTATTCCTGGTGCAGCCGGCGGCTGGTGGAAGAGCGTTACTCTTGGACCAGCCAGCTATCGCCGGCTGACCTAATCCCCTTGGATGTCTCTGCTGGTGCCAGCAGCTCCACCCAGCAGTATTGGCAGGAACAGTTGGTAGTGGGGCACAATGTTTCCTTTGACCGAGCCCATATCAGGGAGCAGTACCTGATTCAGGTGAGGTTGTGGGAATGGCAGGCTTTGAGCCTGGCCTCCTTTGCTAATGAAAGCATTTTCTTTCTTTCTTTCTTTCTTTCTTTTCTTTTCTTTTCTTTTCTTTCTTTCTTTCTCTTCCTTCCTTCCTTTCTTTCTTTTTTTAATATTTTATTTTGATGTGCATTGGTGTTTTTGTCATAGATGTCAGGTCCCCTGAAATAGTTACAGATAGTTATGAGCTGCCATGTGGGTGCTGGGAATTGAACCTCAGTCCTCTGGAAGAGTAGTCAGTGCTCTTAACCACTGAGTCATCTCTCCAGCCCCAACCATTGCTTTCTTGACCACTGTTTCCACCCGCTTCGCAGCATCTGCAGGGACTTTAGCTGTCGGGTCACCAGAACAGATTAGAAACAAGTTAGCGTGGTGTTTGAAACTGTTGAGGCAGATGACCCCTCTCTTCCCTAAAGGTTACAAGGAGCTCCATTACATCTGTGTTGGCACAGGACTGGGAGTTGTTCTAGAATAAAATGACTCTTACCTTCTTTTGTGGCATTTTAAAGCTTTTGAGGGCTCTGAGTTATAGCCTGGGCCACATCCTGCCTTATCCATCCATGGGCAGTATGATTGCCTTCACATCTCTAAGCCCCAGTTTCTTTTTCTGTAAAGAGAGCAAACAGAAGCTCCCCCAATGCACTTTTAGGAGAGTTTGAATAGCACATGTGTCAGACAAGTAGAACTGCCTGGTGTATGGTGACAGTTCTTAGATTGTAAAAACCACTTTTTCTTTCAATTTTTGTAACAGGCTAAGGTGAAGTGTAGGGCAAGAAAGTAGCCCTAGCAGCACCCTTAGCCTGGCATCAAGGGCACTAAGGCACAGACAGCCTTGTTAACTTGTCAGGGACCACAGCTATGGGGGCTAGGGCCAGGACCACGACTTGGGAGACTGGCCCATAGCTCTGAAGGTCTTGTTTAGCTCATCTACCCAGAGTTGTCCAGAAGCTGGGAAGTACTTGTGCTTTGGGACCAAGCCAGTTCTGCACATTCAGGAATTGGGCAGGCCCCCCACAGGTGTTGGGCCAAGCATGGAACGTCTGTGTTTTGTGTTGGAGGCTGTGTGCTGAGGAGCTAAGATGGGGCTGGAATCAGCAGCACTGAAGCAGTGGCCCACTGGCCCCTGTGTCGCAGCCTCTCCTCCCCTGCCCTTCCTTCAGGGCTCCCGAATGCGCTTTCTGGACACTATGAGCATGCACATGGCCATCTCAGGGCTGAGCAGCTTCCAGCGCAGTCTGTGGATGGCAGCCAAGCAGGGCAGGCACAAGGTCCGGTACCCCACACAGCAAGGTCAGAAGTCTCGGAGGAAAGCCAATGGTCCAGAGGTAAGAGGGAGAGCACTTGGGACTGCCCCGAGAGGGGAACCAGGACCCTGTCATTGCCTGCCTGTTGGGCTTAAGACCAAGCTGACCCTCCCTTTGCTTTCTCAGATTTCATCTTGGGACTGGATGAACATCAGCAGTGCCAATAATCTTGCAGATGTGCACAGCCTTTATGTGGGGGGACCTCCCTTAGAGAAGGAGCCCCGGGAACTGTTCATCAAGGGCAGCATGAGAGATATCCGGGAGAACTTCCAGGTATGGTGTTGGCACAGAGCTCCAAATACTCCGGCTGTGACTGACCTGCAGGTGAACTTGGGGAGGTACAGCTGCTGGGTCTGCTCCTGAGACATGGCAGTGGCAGTAGAGGGTTGTCCCTATCCACCCCACCCTTCCAACAAGTTCCTGTCACCTTGTGCTAGGATCTGATGCAGTACTGTGCCCGTGATGTGTGGGCCACCTATGAGGTTTTCCAGCAGCAGCTGCCACTCTTCTTGGAGAGGTGAGAGGGAAGCAGATGAAATCCCTGGGTATGCATAGGTCCTGGTGCCCAATCCCATTGTAATCAGGTGGGGCTGACTCTTCCTCAGGCTGATCGCTTAGCTTTTGTAGGCTGAAAGAATGGAGCCCCTCTGTTCAGTGGTTTCCATGTGAGCCCTGGACTCCGGGTTTCTGGAGTCTTAGGGGCTCGTCTTGTTTGGGGTCCCAATCTCCTTTAGTCAGTGGTGATTGTTATTTACCCAGGTTCAAACCTTGGCTGCTGTATCCCTCACTGACCTTAGATAAGTAACTTGGTTTCTGTGAGCCTCGGTGTTTTGTTTTTGTTTTTTTTTTTAATCAAGAAATACGCACAGATCTACCGTACTCCTGGTTGTGAGGTCTATAAGCAGTCATTGGCATGTATGGGATTGTTAGCACAGTGCCTGACACTGACGGGGGCTGTTATTTCCGTGTTACAGGTAAAAGTGAGGCCCAGAAGTCAGGTGACCAATGCAGGCCTGGGTGGAGTAAAGCTGGGTTCAAGCCTGTCTGGTTTTAGAGCTGTGCAACAAAGCCGGTTGGGTTAAGCTTGTCAAATTGTCTTAGGATTTGGGCCCAAGCCTTGTCTCCTGTGGTCATTTATGGCAGCCCTTGGTGTCTGTCCCTAAGGTGCCCCCACCCAGTGACTCTGGCTGGCATGCTGGAGATGGGTGTCTCCTACCTGCCTGTCAACCAGAACTGGGAGCGCTACCTGGCAGAGGCGCAGGGCACATATGAGGAACTCCAACGGGAAATGAAGAAGTCACTGATGGATTTGGCTAATGATGCCTGTCAGCTGCTCTCAGGAGAGAGGTAGTCAGGTCCTGGGTCAAGGTAGGGGCCAGGCAGGTGGGAGGACTGGATTTTAGTTCAGCCTTAACCCTCTCCTGGTGGACTGGCTCTGCAGGTACAAAGAAGACCCTTGGCTCTGGGACCTAGAGTGGGATTTGCAGGAGTTTAAGCAGAAAAAGGCAAAGAAGGTGAAGAAGCTAGCCTCAGCCAGCAAGCTGCCCATCGAGGGAGCTGGGCCCTTTGGGGAGCCCACGGATCAGGAAGGTGGGAAGCTTATGTGGGAGGTGGGACAGGGTGATCTCTGGGACAGTCTTAGGACCCAGGGGGTCCTTGGAATTGGTTGCTATAGTCCTTCAGACCTGGGAGTCCCTTCTGGTCCAAACCTCCTGACTCTTGGATCTTGGACAGATCCTGGACCACCTAGTGAGGAGGAGGAGCTTCAGCAAGATGTAGTGGCCCGCACCCGTTTACAGCAGCTGAAGAGCAGCACAGACCTCCTGCCTAAGCGAACCCAGCACCTTCCTGGACACCCTGGGTAAGACTGGTTCTCTGTAGCATCCAGGGGATGCTGTCTTGCGTGATCCTCAGGGCAATCCCTGTTTGAGCCTCAGCAAGGTCTTGGACCTTGATGGGTGTTCATTCATTCTACCTTCCATTTCTACTCAGCTATGTTTACTCTGACCCCTGTGGTTTTCTGAACACATTCGGCACAATGCATTGAGCCCCTGTGGTGTGGATGCTACCTGTGGTAGCTATAGCGGCACACGTGGCACTCATCTCCCTTCTAGGGGCAGCTGGTGTGCAGACCAACCAGTGTAGCTGACCTGTAATGAGACTTAAGAACGTACAGTTTAGAGGCAGCTCTGTTGTGCCTGTGGAAATGAGAGGCGGTTTCCTTGAGGAGGTGCCCTTCATTGGTGTCTTAGAGGCAGAGATGAGAAAAGGGCAGCCAGAGTGACCAGGGGTGTAGCCTCATGGTACTTGTGACCCTGGATGCAAATGCCTTGGGTGTACTGCTGGCCTCACCTTAGTCTCAGACAGTCCGAGTGTCCCTTTAACAGCGGGAGTTCTCGTGGATAGAAAGGAAGATCTGTTTCTTCCGCTTAGGGGCTGCATTGGGCCTGGAAAGAAGCTTTGCTTGAAGGATGCCAGTGAGACACATGGGTTTGCCTTCTGAGATAACTTGAGTAAGTCTAGGAGATACCAGATAGGTCCAAAGCCCCCTAAAGGAGAGGACTGCAACTTCTTGTCTGAGTCACCAGAAAGCCTGGAGGCCTTGGAAGGTGGATTGGGTACATTGTGAGAGAGAGACCCTTCCTTACTCCTTAGTGTGACACTTTTTTCCCCTCCATTGGGGGAGTAGGTGGTACCGGAAGCTCTGCCCTCGGCTAGATGACCCTGCATGGACTCCAGGCCCCAGCCTCCTCAGCCTGCAAATGCGGGTCACTCCTAAGCTGATGGCACTGACCTGGGATGGTTTTCCTCTGCACTACTCAGACACTCATGGTTGGGGCTACCTGGTGCCTGGACGGCGGGATAATCTGGTTGAGCCACCAGCGAGCCCCACTGTAGAGTCAACAGGGCTAGCCTGCCCCTACAGGTAAGATTCAGGTTGTGGCTCCGAGTTATTCTTTACTAGAGTAACTAACTAAGGTCAGCTCCAGCTGGTGGGGGGAGCTGTGGTCCAGCTGTCTAGGTTCTAGTTCTTTTTCCCGCTGGTTACCTACCCCTTGACCTCAGAGCCTTACTGTCAAGGTTCAGCAGCAAAGCTGCTTTCACAGTGACACAAGAAGGAAGGTTTTTGACATGGCCTGGGAAGGGGAGGCTTGCTGCTTTCCTTAGGTAGAATTTGAGTACTCTGGGCATTTTGCAGTGCAAATCTCACTTGGCATCTAAGAAGTTCCATGAGAAAAGATTTTTACTTTTATTTATCTCATCGTTTTTTGACAAGGTTTCACTCTGAAGCCTAAGCTAGCCTAGAATTCACTATGTAGCCTAGGCCAGCCTCAGTCTCAAGGCAATCTTGCCTCCGCTTTTCTTTTTTTAAATTACCATTACTATATTACCTAAATAACTTGTCTATTTGCATGTATGTGTACCACATGTATGTCTGGTATATGGCAGAAGTGAGAAAAGGGTGTCATATCCCTTAGAACTGGAGTTGTGGATGGTCGCGAACCACCATGTGGTTGTTTGGAACTGAACCTGTGTCCTTTGGAAGAGCAGCAGGTTAAGAGTGCTCTTAAGCACTGAGCCAACTCTCCAGTCCCTTGCCTCAGCTTTTCAACTACTGGAATTACAGGTGTGTGCCACCACACCTGGTTTGCTCTATTTATTTACCTATTTATTTTTAAATTTTTAATTGTATGGTGCTGGAGATTGAACTCTGTCCTCATGTACAGGAGGCAAGTGTCTTACCAGGCCTGGTACCCACATTTATAGTTGACAAAGGGCCTAGAGAAGCTGGTTGATATGTTTGAGGCCACAAACCCTGAACTTTGGACAACAGGTGCTATGGAGAGGCCAGGTATTTAAAGTGGCCCTGAGTCCTGGTTCCACAGGACAGCTGGAGTCACTTGTCAGGCTTTCAGATGGAAGGGACTGAGATGGCCTTGCTCTACTGAGCCCACGCATGGGTGAGTGAACAGGAGCCAGCTCCGCAGTGCAGCCTTCGGTCTTGGTTTCCCCTGCTGCTTTGCTTCCAGAACTCTCAAGCATAGAGGAGCTTAGTTTGAGTCAGACCAGTTATCTCACCCCAGCCTGTCACCAGTGTGCTAAGTCATTTGGGTTGGTCATTCTGTTTAAAATCCAGGGAAATTTCTGCCTCCTTTCTTAGAGCTGATGTGAGCGCTAAAGAAAGGGACCCATAGAACATTCCAGCAAGCTGCATGGCCTGCACAGGCATTCACTAATCAGCCATTATTTTCTCTGCCTAGAGCCATCGAGGCCCTGTACAGGAAGCACTGTCTTGAACAGGGGAAGCAGCAGTTGAAGACCCAGGAGACAGAGGTGGCTGAGGAGTTCTTAGTCACCGACAATAGTTCCATGTGGCAAACGGTGAGGATGTGTTCTGAGCCTGTTGGGTGAGGGGTCTCCTTTCCTAGGATAATGCAGCACCTTTTGTGGGAGCTGCCACTGGTTGCTCATCTTAGACCGGACTGGTCTGAGTTCTCTTGAGGAAAGGGCTGGTGGATTCAGGCTTACAGCTGCCTGCCTCTCTCACCTGATTCCTGGGCCCATTCAGGCAGAAGAACTGGGCTGCTTAGACGTGGAAGCTGAGGCCAAGATGGAGAACTCATTACTGGGTCAGCCCCTAGCTCTGGTGAGCAAGATACCTGCTCAGATTCTCTGGGTGGGTAATAGGTGACTGGGACCTCCTCTTGCTCACAAAGTTCTTTTCCACCAGAGTTCACTAGGTCGGAGGGTATGGAGTGCTGCCCTGCTCTCCTCTGGTCCTGTAGGTGTAGGGAGACTGAGGAAGGAAACCTGTGACCTCATGACTTCCTGTCACTTTCCAGTTTGTCTACTCAGTTTCAGGCCCTTTTCCCATCCCCCTACCCCCTGGCCCTTGCTGAATGCAGGTGCTGGAGCAGGGCCTGATCTGGGTGTGTGGCCCCCACAGCCTGCTGCTTGTGTCCCCCAAACCAGCCAGCCCACTTACCACCATGGCAATGGACCTTATAATGATGTGGATATCCCTGGTTGCTGGTTTTTCAAGCTGCCTCACAAGGTATGTGCTCTGACTTGTGTGCTGCCTCATGTCCTCACTGGCTAAGGCCCACAGTAGGGTGTACTGCTTACTCAGACCAGGAGACTGACTGCTTGTGTGGGGTTGACAGGGTATGATTTGGGGCAACTTTCATCTCTAGTGCTTTAGTTTTTCTTTTGAAAATTGAATGGAGAGGCATCCTGGTGGGATTAATTGACATGGACATATATTGAGTGTCTGACATTTTCTCATTCATATGGTAGCTTCTATTGGCTGTTGATACTGCCTTCGTCTGATTATCTTAGTATGTGGCGGTATGCACATATATGTATGTGTATGTGCAAGATACCAATGTGGGAATTGCCCCAGTTGCTGGAGGTTCTGGATTCTGTTGGGAGAAGGCCTAGTGTCTATGTCAGTTCCCTATCTGGTGGTCTGCCACCTGTCTCCAGCCCCTGCTTTCTTGTCCTCTACAGGATGGTAACAACTACAATGTGGGAAGTCCCTTTGCCAAAGACTTCCTGCCCAAGATGGAGGATGGCACTCTGCAGGCTGGCCCAGGAGGTGGACCCCGTGCCCTGGAAATAAATAAAATGATTTCTTTTTGGAGGAATGCTCATAAACGTATCAGGTAGGCCAAAGTGGGGTAGGGTAGCAGGAGGCCTGACTGTGTGGTTGGTCAGGTGTCTGCAGCCCCAAGCCTCCTTTCCTCCCATTCTACTCTGATGTTGCCTGGGCAACTGCAGAGGGCTAGCCTAGCCATAGTTAAGAGGCTTAGCTGTTGGTCAGGTGACATGGATCTTGGGCATCTTTCTCCTACACCAACTTCAGTTTCTCTGTTTATGTGGGGTGGCATGGTGGGAGCTCTTCCCAGCTCCGGTTAAATCCCCTAGCTTAACTGCTGGAGCCATGGGTTGTCAATGAAGCCCTTAGAGGGCTAGTTATCTCTAACCTGTATTAGGGATTGAGAGCTGAATCTTTCTGCAGTGGCAAATGAATTCATCTTAGAGGTCGTTTGCAGATGCTGTGGTCACAGCCCTTTGGGAAGGGGTGGTAGTCCCTTGATTGCAGGGAGGCAGTGGTGGCAGAGGGAGTCAGAAGCTGCTTTTGAAGGCTGACCATTCCTAGATTCTTCTGTGAGCCCAGATCCTCCTGTAGGAGGCCAGAGCCCACCTGAGTAAGATTAGTGAGGAGAGTTGATGCCAGGCCTCAAGGGGACACAGTATCCCTGAAGCTGATCAGGTACAAATGCTGGTGACAGCACACTGCTTGCCATTGACTGTGCTGAGCTTCAGCCTTCTTGTCCTCTAGCTCCCAGATGGTGGTATGGCTTCCCAGGTCAGCCCTTCCCCGTGCCGTGACCAGGTATGGCCTACTGAGTGGTTGTGGGGAGAGAACTGAGTGGGGTGGGGTGGGGCTTAAGGCCAGAGCAAGCTGCTGACACTTCTCTGCTTCTTCATCCCAGGCACCCTACCTTTGATGAGGAAGGCCGCTATGGGGCCATCCTGCCCCAGGTGGTGACTGCTGGCACCATCACCCGCCGAGCTGTGGAGCCCACATGGCTCACTGCCAGTAATGCTCGGGTATGTGTCCCCTCTTTTCCTGGCTTCTGTTCTTTATCTGTTAGGTCTCAGGAAACTACCTCAGAGCCTTTGGAGATTCAGTAAGGGGCATGGGAAGGAAACTAAATTCTGGGTTGCACAGGGCTCTGGTTCCAATCTGACTTCATGTCATTCATTCCATTAGCAAATGTGTTTTAGGTACCTGTTGCTGGCTAGACAGTGCCAGGCATAGTGGGCACAGTTATCATGGAGTTTAGATAAGCGAAGTTGGGGTTCTGGCATATAGTTTTGTAGGGTTTCTTCATTTTCTAGCCTGCTGCTGACAGGCCATCTCTGCACAGAGTCTGGATCAGTGTTGTGTGGCATTCTCTGGTCTTCCTTTGTCAGCCCTGGGCCTAGGAATCCAGGGTAGCAGTTGCCTTGGGATTCTAGGAGGGCCTGACCCCACTTTTCCCACAGCCTGACCGAGTAGGCAGTGAGTTGAAAGCCATGGTGCAGGCTCCACCTGGCTACGTCCTGGTGGGTGCTGATGTGGACTCACAGGAGCTGTGGATTGCAGCTGTACTTGGAGATGCTCATTTTGCTGGTATGCATGGTAGGTAGTGGCTTGGGCAGGGGTGAGGCAGCAGGACTCTTGACCCAGGTGGCTGGACCAAATATTGCAGAGCTTCTCACTGTTCTCTTGTTCTCCAGGCTGCACAGCCTTTGGCTGGATGACTCTGCAGGGCAGGAAGAGCAGGGGCACTGATCTACACAGTAAGACAGCCAGCACTGTAGGCATCAGCCGAGAGCATGCTAAAGTCTTCAACTACGGCCGTATCTATGGGGCTGGGCAGTCCTTTGCTGAGCGCCTACTGATGCAGTTCAACCACAGGCTCACAAGACAGGAGGCAGCTGAGAAGGCCCAGCAGATGTATGCGGTCACGAAGGGCCTCCGCCGGTGAGGGCCCCTTTCCCACCACATTAGCATCCAGGGCTGAAGGCTTGCTTTAAAGCTCTCTTCTTTCCCATCTCTTGTCCATCACTTGAGTGCTCTCCTCTAAACCTAGCTGCAGCATAGTTTATCTTTGAAGTTGTAACGTTGTCTTTATGGTGTTAGTTTTTTCCTCATAGGACAAAGCTGTACTTAGGGCATATTATCATCAAGTTGTCATCCATAGCTATAATTAGGTAACATCTGCAGTAGCTTAGGGGTCTGTCTTAGGGTTTCCATTGCTGTGATGAAACACCATGACCAAAAAGCAAGTTGCGGAGGAAAGGGTTTATTTGACTTACACTTCAACATTGCTATTCGTCACTGAAGGAAGTCAGGACAGGAATTCAAGAGGGCAGGAATTTGGAGGAAGGAGCTGATGGAGAAGCCATGGAGGAGAGCTGCTTACTGGCTTGCTTCCCATGGCTTACTCAGCCTGCTTTCTGAACTGTTAGCCCAGGGGTGACACCACCCACAATGGTCTGGGCTCTCTCCCACCAATCACTAATTGAGAAAATGCTGCCTTACAGCTGGATCTCATGGAGGCATTTCCTCAGCTTGTATCAAGTTGACACATAAACCAGCCAGGGCAGGGTCTGATGCACACAGCGATAGGAACAAGAGTGAGGAGATAAAGGAGACAGGAGCTGAAGGAATAGAAATATGCAAAACCAGAGTGCAGGCAGTTTGCTCAGCTCTGTTTCCTCTAGCAGTGCTATGTTCTCGGGCTCTTCATGGGCTTTTGGCAGGCTCAAGTGCAGAGGAGAGGTAGCAATACAGTGGCAGGTTGTGTCCCCATTTAGATAGCTGATTAACTGTGGAAATTGTCTTAGTTAGGTTTCTGTTTCTATGATTAACATAATGACCAAAAGCAATTTGGGGAAGAAAAGGTTTACTTCATTTTACAACTCAACTCTCAAGATTCCAGTCCATCACTGAGGGAAATCAAGGCAGGAACTGAGGTGCAGAGGCCGTGGAGGAAGTTTACTGGCTTGCTAAGTCGGCTTTTCCCATATTCTCTGGGACCACCTGCTTGGGGCAGAGCTGCCCACAGTGGGCTGTACCCTCCACATAATTCACTAATCAAAAAACAAAACAAAACAAGAAAACACACTACAGACTTGCCTGTAGGCCAATGTGATGGAGGCGTTTTTGCCCATTGAGGTTCCCTCTACTCTTCTCAGATGACCCTAGGGTTTTTTGTTGTTGTTTTTTATCAGCTTGATACAAACTAGTCAGCAAACTCTGAAAAAGACTGGAAACTGCTGGGCGTTGGTGGCGCACGCCTTTAATCCCAGCACTCGGGAGGCAGAGGCAGGCGGATCTCTGTGAGTTCGAGGCCAGCCTGGTCTCCAGAGCGAGTGCCAGGATAGGCTCCAAAGCTACACAGAGAAACCCTGTCTCGAAAAACTTAAAAAAAAAAAGACTGAAAACTGAGTAACTGACACAGGGTGCAGTGGTGACTGTCTATTAGAACCAGGATCTGAATGTTGGGAGCAGGTGGACTGTGTTTTGGCAGGGTTCATGTGGGCGGGCATTGTGCTGGTGGTGAAAAAGTGCTAAGAAAGGAGGTTGGGCCTTAGGTGTAGAAGTGAAGACACCGCAAGAATTTGAACTGCAGCCCTAAATTGTGGGGAAGCCCTGATGCCCCTTCCAGTAAGTGAACTGGTTCTGCCTGGGTCAGTAGGAGTTAAGAAGCTGGGCTTAACTGTCTTGTTTTTGGCTTTTCTAGGTTCCTCCTTCCCTTTAGGGGTCACTGGGCAGTTCAGTGTCAAGCAAGCACAAGGACAGTATGACCAGGATTGACTTTGTTGGAGTTTGCCCTTTATTGGGCTAACATGATACAGCCCAGGCCTTTGTGAATACAAAAGCCCGAGTTTCTGTGCCCCTTTCTAGCTGTTGAACCCAGCAAGTCATTCAGTCTTTTTGAGCCTGTTTTCCCTGCTAAAGTTAGCCTCAGGGGAGAAGGGTGACCAGGGGCTGTTTGGGAAATAGAGTGTGGGTATGCCACAGAGAAGGCCATTTAATGGGAATGTCATGGTGCTGTTCCCCACAGGTATCGGCTGTCAGACGAGGGTGAATGGCTGGTGAGACAGTTGGACCTCCCTGTGGACAGGACAGAGGATGGCTGGGTTTCCCTACAGGATCTTCGAAAGATCCAGAGAGAAGCTTCAAGGAAGTGAGAACCTTCTTCCGTGTTCAAGATGCAGGACTGAAGTGGGCTGGTCCCAAAAGCTGACACTTCAGTTTTTTAGCACTGAGATGATGCTAACAGACAAATCCTGAGCTCAGGGTTTCTGTTCCCCCAGATCACGCTGGAAGAAGTGGGAGGTGTTTACAGAGCGAGCATGGACAGGGGGCACAGAGTCAGAAATGTTTAACAAGCTGGAGAGCATTGCCATGTCTGACACACCACGTACCCCAGTGCTTGGCTGCTGCATCAGCAGAGCCCTGGAGCCCACGGTTGTTCAGGGAGAGGTGAGGTATCTTGCCACCCTTAGAGCATGGAGAGAAGGGGGAGGAGAGTGGGGGCACAGTCCCTGGACTAGAGCTAACTGGTAAATACATCTCCTATTGCTGATGTCCGCCTATCTTCCTTAGTTTATAACCAGCCGTGTGAACTGGGTGGTACAGAGCTCTGCTGTGGACTACTTACACCTCATGCTTGTGGCCATGAGGTGGCTGTTTGAGGAGTTTGCCATTGATGGACGCTTCTGCATCAGCATCCATGATGAGGTTCGTTACCTGGTGCTGGAGGAGGACCGCTACCGTGCTGCCCTGGCACTGCAGATCACCAACCTCCTGACCAGGTATGTCAGGTCTTGGGGCCCACTGAGCAGGTCTGAGTTGTTAACTCAGAACTGACTGGTTTAGCTTTCCTTTTTTATTTTTAAAGTTTATGGAACTCCTAAAAGGGGCCTCAACTTTTCAAAAGTATTTGTTAGGTCTGAAAGTGGCATGAGTCAGCACTAAATCATTTAGGAGGTGGCAAAGTCAAGGAAGTTATTATTGCTCCCCTAGTAACATGCCTAGAATCAATGACAGAAGACATTTCAACTCAGAAAAGTGAGACATTTTTCTTTTTCTCCCCTAAATATTTAAACTGCCTAAGGTGTTTAACAGGTAACCTCTTTAATGAGGAAACTCAAATACAACTTAGAAAACATGTTTTATGTATTATTGAGTTGTATTTTCTTTATATTTATGTAGTCTTTGCTGTCCAGAACTCTATATAGACCAGGCTGGCTTTGAATTCAGAGATCCACCTGCCTTTGCCTCCCTAAGTAATGGGACTAAAGGTGTTCACCACCATGCCTGTTGAATTGCATTTTCTTGTACTAAAACTCCTAGTTCATATGGATGAGTTAAATATTGCCATTTCATGTTGATTGGTCACTCAGAACCAACCTGGAAACCATACTCTATCTTGATAAATGAGTAAATAACAAATTTACAATTCAACATTGTTACCCATGCTCTTTTCTAGGCTTCGGGGTGATGGTTAAGTTTAAAATTCAGCATTTATCTCATATTTGGGTCCAATAATTGAAATTAATTTTTTTTTTAGTGTCAATAAAGTATTCCAAACTGGAAAAGTGTGTTGAGTCCCTAATTGTATTTTAGTATCTCAGTCTCAGAGGTATTAGGCTGAACATGGAGGCAGAATAGCCTCTACTTTCATAGTTTTGCTAACTATGGGTAACTGACACAGGAGAAAGCCTGCTCTGTGGGACCGATCTCTGGTCATTTCTCCTGGAGTGAGGAGTCTGTACTCACAGCAGGGCACGGCTGTGAGCGGAGACTGGGTCTCTTTCAGGTGCATGTTTGCCTACAAGCTGGGTCTGAATGATCTGCCCCAGTCAGTCGCCTTTTTCAGTGCAGTAGATATTGACCAGTGCCTCAGGAAGGAAGTGACCATGGACTGTAAAACTCCTTCTAACCCAACTGGGATGGAAAGGAGATACGGGATTCCCCAGGGTGAGCACAATCTTTGTTCCTCATGTAGGATGGGAGGTGGTGGCTTAGAACCTTGGGGCCCTGGGAAGAAATCCACTTCATAAAATGAAGATGGTAGAATTTTAAATATTCGATCTATACTGACCCATCTTCAAAATTACACCAGAAATTTTTAATGATTTATTGTATAAGTCAAAGTGCATTCTTACATGGAAAAAATACATTATCTTTTCTGAAAATACCAGAGTGTTTTCTATTAAAACTGTCGCTAAGACCAACTGCCATTCCTGGCAGTTATCCTCAAGGGTCCCACCCACTGTCTTTTCTTAACATTCATACTCTCATTTCTGAGCACAGTCATAGTTCTTCAGGAGGCATCCTAACCGATTCCCACTGTCTTGCAGGTGAAGCACTGGATATTTACCAGATAATTGAACTCACCAAAGGCTCCTTGGAAAAACGAAGCCAGCCTGGACCCTAGCTCCATCTGGAGGCTCTGTATTTGCTCCTGTGGAGCTTCATTGAAGTGGTGCAGGTTCCTAAACTCAGGCTTTCAGATGTGCTTTTTGCAAAAGGGCATGCCTAGGCAGCCATTTTTCTGTAGCAGGACCTGCCCAGAAGAGTCCTTCTAACTGAAGGCACAGTTTGGTGGGTTCAGAACCAGGATGCCAACATCAGTGCAGGCTGTATGAGAAGGGGTACTGTCGGCACAAAACAAAGCAGATGCCCCACAGGTCACATTAACTCAGGCATATCTTTCTTTTCTTTGTGGCTGGTTCTCTGTCCTGCTCTCTGTGTGCTGGTGCAGCGCCCTAGAAGGGGAGAGTAGAAGCTCTGGTGACCCTGCCCTAAGGTGATGGGAATAAAAACAAACACCAAAACTCCTGTATCAGTCATGCTTTCCTCTGTGCCTCCCAGGTTGGTATTTAGGAACCTCCGTCCTGAATAAAATGGCACCTAACTCCCAGGGACTTTTGTAATAGTAGGATCAGAATGTCAGGACTCAAGTATCACAATGCTCATATGACCTTTCCAAGGAGAGAATACACAGTAGGGCCTAGAGTTCAATGATCTAAAGAATTCAGGATCGATGTTCTGAGAAGCCAGATCCAGGTTATTTTATATAAACTTCCATTTTTGAGTGGGTCTAGGCTACTACTAGTTTTAGCTTCAACAAACGTAAGATGAAACCCTTCCAAAGTCAAGGAAACAATGGGTTCAGATAAGGAAACAGAAAACCTCACGTGAAATTCAGAATGGGTCTACCTTGAAGGGAGGGTATAAAAGCCAGCCAGAATGCCGTAGAATCAAGACTGTAGGACAGGGCAGTTTGCCTGCCATATTTCCTGGAAATGTGTACCAAAAATATGCAAGTAGGCACTGACCTCCTCATTTTCATCTTCATCCTCTCGAAGAACCATGTCTAGGATGCTGCCTTTGATCTTGAAGTCCCGAGAAGTACTTAGCTTCATGTGCTGCATCAGGTTTACCTGGGACAGACAGGCAGGCTTATAAACACAGGCACTTACTCAGGAACAGCTTACAGTGCTTTCAGTGTGTATCTGGAAGACCTTGAGTGTACCAAGTCAGAAATGGCAAACACTGCTGTGCTGCCTGCCTCAGCCTTCAACAGGAAAGGGGAGTGGATACAGTGTTTTTACCTTGGACTTTTTAGATAGCTGGATTAGAAACTTTTCATACTGTTCAATGGCAAAGACAAGGTTGGGGATTGGCTTGGTTTCCCGAAGAACTTTGGCCTAAGGGCAAAAGGACATTAAGACTTACATTTCAAGGTCAATAGCTTGTGAAGTTTTTCTGTAGTGTCTCTCAAACTTACATTCTTAAAAGAAGAAACACACTTTGGCAATTGCTGTTTCTGATTGGTGAATACACTTGCATTGCTGGATTATTCCCTCAAATGAGGATCCTGTCACTCAGACTGCCTCCCACTCTTCCTCTCTGGGCCAGCTCCTGAATTCTGGGATGACAGGCATGTGCCACCAATCCTGATGCCACCATCCCACTTTTAAAATACCTGGGAGACAGCTTTCTAGCTGCTCATCAGACCTGCCAGTACTTTCCTGTGTGGCCCACACTACAACTTACTTAGCTGGTCTTCCTGACATTAGTTATTTCCAGTATTTCCTTTTAAAACAGTGTGGTGAGACAAACCTGTACCTAGGCCTTTCTGTATTAGAAAAGGAATTGTTACAGCTGTATTTCCTAAAATATAGTCGCTTTCCTGCATTCACCAATCCTTAGATTTTCTTTGTTTTTTTTTTTTTTTAAATTTAATTTATTTATTTTTGGTTTTTCAAGGCAGTTTCTCTGTGTAGTCCTGGCTGGCCTCATGCAGACATATCTGGCAGTGCTACCCTCACCTGGCTAATTCTTATATCCTTTACAGAGCATCTTTTACACTCCTGCTTTTCCTAAAAACAATTTTTAAATGTCCAACAATTAAGGCCCACTGGGTCTGAACAGCCAGGTAAGCATCTTACCATGATTGTGCTGGCGCCTGCAGCCTTCTCCTTCTCTGTGCACTTTGGGTTGTCATTCCCCTTATTCTAAAGAAACAGAAACATTGTCTCATTCCTCAAGATTCCTCTGTAGACTGCAAGTTTTTCTGGGAAGCAGAAAAACCATGATGCAGTATATAGCCTTTGGAGATAAACAGTTAAAATGGACACTGTCAAGGTGGTAGCAGGAACAGGCATTTTCCTGCTGCTGGGCAGCTGACTAAAAGGCTATGAAGAAGTCTACAGTCTTCTTAGAAGTAATCTTATGCATAATATAGTTGCCATGCTTGGGAGGTGTGTGAGTTGTAGATTAGTGTGTAAGGCTTCTGGACAGAAAAAAAGGAACCTGGTAGTGGTGCACACCTTTAATCAGCATTGCAGAGGCAGATAGGTGGCTCTTGACAGGCCATTCTGGTCTACAGAGTTCCGGGGTAGTAAAAACCCTTTCTGAACCAATGGTCAACATCAAAATACTAACAAGACAAAAGGAAACAAAGACCTAAGTGAGGGGAGATGGAAAAACCACCCAGTGTCAGTGAAACAGGAAGCCTTCATCTCAAAAGGGAGGCTTTAGCCTCCCAGCAAAGAAGCAGGAAAAGTGTCCTAAAAAAGCACAGGAAACTAGGGAGATGGGCAGGGAGGTTGCTCTGGAAAGATTTCAGAGACGCTACAAGTGAACTCTGTGCACTGCCCATAAATACTAAAAGAAGACTTAGAGCCAGGAAAAAGAAAACAAACCAGAGGCAGAAACATCCTTAGGTGTTTGTAGCACTGCTTCCCATCAAGATCTAAGGTAGTTAGTGTACACAAAGTATCAATAAGGTCCCCAGGTCAACCAAGAGCCAATGATTCTAAAGCAAGGGGGCTGACAAACCATGGGGCTTTGGAATAACATTTATTTATTGGTTTTTCGAGACAGGGTTTCTCTGTGTAGCTTTGGAGCCTATCCTGGCACTCACTCTGGAGACCAGGCTGGCCTCGAACTCACAGAGATCCGCCTGCCTCTGCCTCCCGAGTACTAGGATTAAAGGTGTGCGCCACCAACATCCGGCTTTGGAATAACATTTAAAAGGTAACATAGTTGTGTACATTTATTTATGTATTCTCTGCTGTTTTTACAACAGAAGAGCTGTGTGGGCATGACAGGGCCCACAAAGTCTGTAACATTCACTATTTGGCCCTGTACTCTAGACAATTTGATGATCCCTGTTGTAGAATCAAGATAGCTGGGGTCAAGTCTCAGTCTGGCTTTTACTAGCTGTCTGGTTTCAGCCATTCAATCAACCTCCCAAATATAAAGTATATTGAAAACAAAAGCTGATGCATAAAAAGAATGTAAGGGCTAAGTGGTAGCTATCCTAATAAAATGCAAGACTCACTCAGATTATAGTAAAGGAGGTTGATAGAGTCTGACCAGGCTGGAGAGATGGCTCAGAGGTTAAGAGCACTGACTGCTCTTCCAGAGGTTCTGAGTTCAATTCCCAGCAACCACATGGTAGCTCACAACCATCTGTTATGAAATCTGGTGCCCTCTTCTCGTGTGCAGAGATACATGGAAGCAGAATGTTGTATACATAAGAGTCTGACCAACAGTGCTTCAAGCTATAGCTATTCTGCCCAGTAATGCTACTTAAATTTTTTTTTTTTTTTTTTTTTGAGCTGGGTGGTGGTGGTGCATGCCTTTAAACTCAGCACTCTGGAGGCAGAGACAGGTAGCTCTCTGGGATTTCAAGGTCAGCCTGGTCTACAGAGTGAGTTCCAGAAAAGCCAAGGCTATAAATGTTTTTAGTAGGTTTAAAAAGCATTATTGAACATACAGTTGGAACTCTCAGAATCTTTAAAATGCTAGTAAACCAACATGACTCTCAAGGCAGGGAACATCTAAAGTTTCCTTAGGATCCCCTTTTGGAAGCTGTTGTCTATAAGGATACCTTATGAAATCTGTGTGGCTATATAAACATTAAGAATGATATGCCAGGCATGGTGGCACATGCCTTTAATCACAGCAGTTGAGAGGCAGAGGCATGAGGAGCTCTTATGAGTTCAAGGCCTCATCTACAGAGCCTCATCTACATAGCCAGAGCTACAAAGTGAGACCCTGTCTCAAAAGAGAGGGAAAAGCTGGGCATGACCACATGCTTATAATCCCAGAACTTGAGCTGAGGCTGGTAGATCTGAAGTTCAAGGCTAGCTTGTACTACACAGGGACTGTCTAAAAAGCAAAACAGAAAAGATGGGGGGTGGGGTCCGGGGATTCAAACCCTCAGTTTAGGAGTGGATGGATATATATCCTACAGAGAACAGATTTGAAAGAATGGCATCCACATGAAAATAGTTTGAAGTTTGAGAGGGCATGCCTGCAAATATTTAAGAGAGAAAAAGACCAGGAGTGCATAGCTTGTCCAGAGCAGGGAAGCTGTGATAGGGCACTCCTGTAATCCCCATGCAGACAGAAGCAGGTAGCTCAGGAATTCAAAGCCAGCCTGGGATATACCATACACACAGGCAAACACTCATACACATAAAACAAAATGATCTCCATTCCCCAAGAATCTATACATTATAAAAATGGGGTCTGGACAAATGATCCAGTGAGTCCCAATCCTCCACCTCTCTGAAGCACTCTGCTGCACCCATAACTCTGCCACCTAATCCCAGCCCTCCCCATGTGTTGATTGCTGTTACTTACAGTAAGAGTCCTAATGCATGGACTTGTAGGTACCCAGAAATGAACCAAGGCTACCTTGTTCATTCTGTACTCCAAACACCAGCATACCAAATGCTTCCTTTGCTATATCAAAGTCTGTAAAGCTCTCAAGTCTTGGTTTGTTCAGATGGGCACCTCTTGCTGATATGCAAGAGAAACTGTATACTCAGCCTAGGTGGCCAAGCAGCTCCAGGGACAAAGCAGTGTAGCTCTTTTTTTTTTTTTTTTTTAAAGATTTATTTTTATTATTTTAAATATTATCTTCCCTTTACCAAAGAAGTCAGAATCAGAAGGTTTGGATCTCCTGGAGCTGGAGTTAAGGCAGTTATGAGCCACCTGATGTGGGCTGCTGGATACCTAACTTGGGTCTTTTCCAAGAGTGCTCCACACACTTAACCACTGACTCATTGCTCCAGCCCTCCACTAAGCCCTTTCTTGATTATTTTGGTACTGCCTCTAAATTACTTACTTGTACATAAGAAATGAAAGAGTAACACATGGGGGTCAGATGAGAGCCGGACAGCTTCACCTGTAGCAAAGGAGACAAGAATGTATGTAACTGTAGCAATAACATCCCCCATCTTTAGGAAAGCCAGTCTCAACTTACCAGCTTTTCCACAGTGTTTGGAATTCCTCTGGCGCTCTGACACACCTGGAGATACTAACATAGAATTCCTAGATTATCTATCCATGGAGTATGTCTCATTGCTGACTACATGGGGGACATTCACAGCAAAACCAGAAACAGCTTCCCTTCCCTTCTCTGAGCACATAAGCTTCCCAGACAACAGAGAACAAAGGGGTTGCTTCTGACTTGGCCAGCTCAATGCTTTGAGAGTCCTTCAGGCAGAGTTCCTGCATCTAGGAGGTAAGTCTGTCCTCTTAAGTTGCAAGTAGACAGGCTCCCCATGTCTCCTTGCTTAGCAGTAGCTTAGCAGCCACAGCAGGTGACTGGAGATGCATGTACCAGGGATGACCACACTACCTGTGGTGTCTATGCCTAAGTACTAAGTCTAGATCACATACAGAATATAAACTACTAGTTCCCATCACCTTCTGAATTCTCCGAGGACCAGAAATGTATATGTTCATTTCCCATTGGAGGTGAAATCCATCATGCCAAGCAAAGCTGACTTAGATTATGCCAGCAAGTGTTTCTCCCTTGACCTGGGGAGATCCCTTCTAACTACTGATCAAATGAAAACAAAACTGTGACATTGTGTGGCAAGAGCTGGGTTCAGAAGCGCTTTGTACCTGGCAAGTGGAGACAGAAGGTGGGATACAACCTGATTATCTTCCAAAAACTCACGTATTTGACAAATGCTGTTAGGGTGCTGTATATTTTGGACAGGTCCTTCAATAAGGTGTCCACGCAGCTGCCTGATGGCAGGGCTGTCTGCACTAATTCATGGAAGAATGTAACCAGTGTTCCCAGCTGCATGACGATGGCTTTCTCGATGAGAAGATTTGGTGGGACTGCTTGAGAAGAGGCATCTGAAGAAAAATGAAACTGATGCAGTTCATCTTATTTTCCAGTTAACAGTAAAGGAGATTTAAACCACGGTTTAATCTATATTTTGCTGGCAGTACAATCCCTACCTGGAGCCATTTTATCTGATAGGGTTTCTTGGTTCACTGAGCTCTTAATCTTGGTGATTAACCAGTCTACTTCTTCTAGGACTTTCTCAGCCTGACTCAGGACAAGCAACTGTGAAAAGAAAAGAATGTGTGGCATGGTTCACATTGCTGGGGCAATAACAAGCGTCACTTCCACAGGAACCTTACAGGCCCGAGGACAGAAGCCAACTGTGACAGACTCTTCAGATGGAAGATGGAGCTGGGTTGTTTCCCATGGATCACATCAACACTTACACAGACAGTAGGGGCAGCTGTTCTCAAATTCACCATTGCATAGTGGTCTGTCTTCTCTATCTCTACATCCTGGAAAGGAAAAGAGGCAAGACCTAAGACCAGTAGCCATTGCCTGGACCTCACTCCCCACACAGGATGCCACACTACACTTGCTGTGCTACCTGGTCTATGTCTCCCAGCTGCCCATGGATATCCTGGGACAAGTCACGAAGCAGGGTGACAGGACTCTTATATAAGACATGCAGGCTGAAGAATAGGTTCATCAAACTCTTGCAGAATGAGGTATCCTCTAGGAGCGGGAGGGAAGAAAGGGAAGTTTTATTGTTAGAGCCTTTGTAGACTGGCCACACTAGTGTTGGGGTTAAAGGGAATCCCTCTCTAATAGGTTTTGGTGATGGTGATTTTGTATAAAGCCTTCAGGAAGGGAGGCAGGAAACTCACCCCGGCTGTATTCCTTGCAAATCTTAGACGTCCAGGATAACACCTGCACAAACTGAACAAAAGACCTTCAGTTGTTAAAGAAAAAGATGCAGGGTACAGTGGCAGAGAGGCAGAAGCAGGCAGATCTCTGTGAGTTGGAGGCCAGCCCAATCTACATACTGGGTTCTAGGCCAGCCAGGGCTACAAAGTCAGACCCTGTCTTTTTTTCTATTAAAAAAAGTAAGAAAGAAAAACAAAACAAAACTAAACATGTTTTTGTCAGAACAGAAGAATCTTAGACCTTTCTAGGCATAAGAAAATCACCTACCAAAACTGTGCCTGGACTTAATCGGTTACATAACAGCATAAAAATGTGTCCAAAGGGACGAGAAGTAGTGACACTTCTCATAGCACAGGGCTGAATACTCAATGTCTGTGTCCTTAAGGACTAAATGTCCTGAGATCTGGATCTGAGTTCTCATCTCTGAGCTTCCTCTGCTGCTACCATAGTAGTCTGGGGCTAAATACCCTATGTCCTGGTACTTCAGATATGAGGTATGGGAGAAGATCTGGGCTATAATAACAGAAGAGAAGGGGGAAATGAGGAAGAAAATATAGATATATATATATATCACACAGAATTTTCTTAGGTGAAGGAGACTTGAGGTTTTGGGTAACAGGAATCTGAAACAGGCTTGCAGGCACAAAGACACTAATACACAGTGACAGTTAAGTACAGACAAGTAAGATTTTGGTCTGCTGGAAGGGAAAAGGTCAATTATGAGGTCAATAAGTAAAAGGTCAATCAGTTAGTAATAAAGGTCTTTATGAACTGATATTAAGACCTCCAGTACCCCGTGCCAAAGAGGTAACTAAGCTGGAGAAGCACTCTTCAGTGGTGAGAGTGGTGGGGTCTGGGGTAGGAATCTGTATTTGTATTTGCTTCCGTAGGAAACTCGTGAAAGACCCAGACAAGACTGTTTGCTTATTTAAGAAGAACACATGGAGGGGATGCGGAGGGGAGACTAGTGAGGGTAAACATTGCTATAATTCCTCATCAAACTACAGAATTTTATTATCAATTAAAATTATCAGTAAGACAACAAAAATTGATTAGGAACTAGGGATATAGATCAATTGTTAAGAATGCTTCTGATGTGTGCCTATAACACTAGCAGCTGGGAGGGGGAGGCAGGAAGGTCAGACGTTTATGGTTCTATGTGAAGGGACACTGGCCCACTTGAGCACGCGGCTCTGGCAGGCCTTGTCCTTCTCCCCCATTCCCTTACCTTTCTAAACCGCCATGTTTCAATGTGCCACATCTGTCTCCTCTCTATCCAGAGCCAGTCCTTTGTCCCTCCAGGACACACATCCCTGCTCCCTTTCTCTTGTCCCCCCTTGTCCCTCATCTTTTCCATGTCCTTTACTACCTGTCCCAGCCCATTCTAACCCAGACTGCCCCTTCTTCTCATCTGAAGAATGACACCTGCAAGGTCATCTGCTGCTGTTTTCTGCCCGAGTCAGAAAGCAGCCACTTTAGCTTATTTCCCCACTTAATAAAGGATCTCTGTGAGAACAGGTGTTAGGGTGTGGCATGTGCCTAATCTGGGGTCCAGGACAGGGGGGGGTGGTCTCCTTCACATATCCTATTTTGGTTTCTTTTGCTGTAGAAAACATTCTGACTAAAAGCAACTTGAGGAAGAAAGGCTTTCTTTTGTTTTTTCCAGACAGGGTTTCTCTGTGGCTTTGGAGCCTATCCTGGACCTCACTCTGTAGACCAAGCTGGTCTCCAACTCACAGAGACCCACCTGCCTCTGCCTCCAGAGTGCTGGGATTAAAGGCGTGCACCACTACAGCTCACAGCCCATCACTGAGGGAAGTCAGGACAGGAACTCAAAGCAGGAATCTGGAGACAGGAGCTGAAGCAGAGGTCATGGAGGAGTACTGCTCACTGGCTTGCTCAGTTTGCTTTCTTATAGAACCCAAGACCACCTGCCCAGAGGCAGCATCACCTACGGTGCACTGAGGCTCACACATATCAATCAATCATTAACCAAGACAATGCCCTCACAGAGCTGCCTCACTCAAGTTGCTCTCTTTCCAGATGACTCCAGTTCATGTCAAGTTAACATAAAACTAATCAGAATGGTTATCGTTAGGGACACAGCAAGTGCGAGGCCAGACCGTGCTACATGGCACCCTGTCTCAAAAACAAACAAAAAAATTAAAAAATTAAAGATATAATCTGAAGTTAACTGGGAAGGGGTGTGTTGAATATTGTCAAATATTTTTCACCAATGAGTCTTTCCAAAACTCACTCAGTTTTCCTCAAACAACTTGTCCCAGGCTAACCTGGATCTAGGACGTTAGCATCTGTCCTCCAGTGCTCAAACGCCCCACCACCACAGGTGGTCTCTCAGGGAACAGCAGCTTCTGGAGGCAAGAGCCCACAGGAGGAGCGTTGTTTCTCTAGGGTTTCAACAGGGCAGGGGCAATAAGGATGGACTGATAGCTCCTATGGTATTCTTTGCTGTCCTGTGGAGATGTAACTGTTGACCTGAACAGACTCACCAAAATGACCCATCTCTTTTTTTTTATGTGTGAATGCTCATATGGATGGGCACGCTAAATACATGTACACATGCCTACACATACCTACACATACATACACATGTACATGCACACAATCCATCTCTTCAGGTACTTCTGCTTTGGGATTGTGGTCACTCTTGCTGACTTATTTGTTAAATTCCTCAAACTTGATTTTTTCCCTATGAAATCCAAATGCTGAACTTCAGCTACCTTCATGATTAAAGCTCTGTCATTTCAGAAAAGGCGAAAACATCAAGAAACACAAAGACTGGGAAAGAACTGTGTTAAAAGGCTAAGGGCACCAAAGAGAAACCTGTCTGATTGATATAAAAAAGTGTTTACTGTAAATGAAACAAACCAAACCAGTATGTTCTTGACCTTACCTGGCTGCATATGTTCTGAGAGGAGCAATGTATAAGGAAAGACACACCCTACAGCTCCTTCAAAAGGATATTTAGAGGAATACTTTGATTGTTTGAAGTAGGCTGGCCTCAAACTTGCTATGTAGCGGGGGATGACCCTGAGAGTCTAGTCTTCCTTTGGATTACAGGCATGCACCATCACACCAGATTCATGTCTTTGGGGATCAGATGCAGGCAGGTCTGTGTACAAGGTAAACTACCTGTCCTACCTCCTCAGCCCTAGACATACACTTTTATGAGAACACAATTCTTGTCTTCTGAGGGACACTAAATGAGACTGAGCAAGCACTGCTGTTACCTGTGGAGAGGTGGGTTCTATCAGCCTGGACAAGGAGGAGAGAATCGTGATGAGCAGCAAGGCCTCTTTACTGTTAAAATCTTCCTCTTCACTGCTAAGCAAGTTCAACAAGGACCTCTGCGAAAGGAATGGATGTACACAGATGGGAGTAGACATTTTGTATCAGAGAAGAGACATCCAGGGAGAAAGTCTCACAGCTGGAACAGAATGATTCAAAGCTATGTAATTCCAAGAGCATAAAATCTGAAAAGAAACCTGGATTAAATAGCAGTTTTCTGTTTCAACTGTAAACTGAAGAATTTCTCTTGAAAACTAGGGCAGTTTTTCATCTCACTCCCTGCAGTACACATGAGGAACAAACTAGTTTCTGGCAGTTCTCATCTGCTTGGAGCTAGAGCTTAACCTCTGACCTCAGGGCTAGTCCAGGCCCCAAACTTGTGTCTGTGCCCTGACAGTGGAATCTGTCTGACTGATCCATTTGGCAGTCTTCTTTTCTACAATGGAGGAATGTGCCACCTCTTCTGATCCTATAAGTAAGTGCTCCAGCAACAAGTCCTGGGACATGGTAGGAGTGTTAGCTGTTATTTGTTAAAGAAATCCTTGACATGGAGCATACTGATACTCTGGCAATTATGGTGAGAAACTTCACAGGCTTCATTTTTCCTGTCCAGGAGTCTGTTAGACAAGGCCAGATTATACCACATAATCAAACCAAAAACCCTGTGCGGTGAACTGGCTTCCTTTCTGCACCTTAAACAAGGGTTCTCAGAGGCCACGAGTTCCACTGGCTGGGTCCTCACTAGGGTCCTTTCCAGCATGGCGCCTTTCACTCTTAAGCCCTGTCTGTGACTTCCTGTCTGACTCCTCCCAGAAGAATTTAAAACAGCTGTTTCCCAAGGCTTCTTACCTGAAATTGCCGGATCTGGAATGTAGCTCTTTGAGTGACAGAGACACCTGCTTCTTCTCCCTCTTCTTCTGTGCCTGTGACATCTGGAAATGGAAACAAGCCTACCTTCCTTCAAACTGACTTGGGTTTTTGTTGTAGGTTTTCCTTTTTGGGGGGGGGGGGGGGGTTTGCAGAGACAAGGTCAAAGTAATAACCCAACCCATCCTGGAACTTCCTGTTGCCCTGAACCTACAATCTTTCTGTCTCAGCTTTCTGAATGCTGGGCTAACAGGCCTGCATCATCATGCCCAATTCTTTTTGCCCCCCCCCCCCATACCCTTCACTTAGGTACTAGGGATTGAACCTAGGTCCTCATATGTGTTAAGCAAGCGCTCTACCAACTAAGCTGTATCCTCAGCCCTTTTTTACTAGAATTTTCCATTTATTTTATGTGTATGGGTATTTAGCCTGCATGTGCATCTGTGCACCATGTACACAGTACCCCCATAAGTGCAGAGACTAGAAGAGGGCTCAGATCCCCTCGCAGGTGGAGTTACAGGTGACTGTGAGTCACCACGGGAGTGCTAGGAACCAAACCCATGTCCTCTGGAAAAGCAGGAGTTCCTAACTCTTGAGCCATCTCTCCAGGCCCAGGTACTTTTTGTTTGCTTGTTTTTAAACACATACACACACACTTTTTTTTTTTTTTTTTTTGGTAGGATCTCACTTTGTAGCTTTTACCACTCTAGAAATTATCAGACAGTCTCAAATTTGTGGTTCTCTTCCCACCTTTCCCTAGCTTGAGTGCTGGGTTTATATGCATGTACTACCACACCCCAACTTTGGAGGGAACTAATACTTAAAATTATATTCTGAGACTGGGTCCCATAGCCCAGGTACTCACTATGAGCTAAGTCTGGTCTCAAACTTGTGATCTTGACTCAGCTTCCTAAGTACTTGGGATTTCATGTCTGAGCCATCACACCTGGAGACAGTGAAAATTTTAGAGACGCCCCTCCCCCCAAAAGTTCTGGAGGCTGATTTAAATGTGTTTCTAAATTTCATTTTCTTTTTTGTGGGGGTTGGCCAAGGTTGAGAAAGGGTCTCTTTATATATCACTCTGGCCTGTCCTAGAACTCACTCTGTAGACCAGGCTGGCCTCAAACTGACAGATCCACCTGCCTCTGCCTCCCAAGTGCTGGGATTAAAGACATGCACCACCATGCCCAGCTTTAAATTTCACTTTCTTAATGCGGCATTCCTCCTCCAGTCACTATTTGTGGATATAGAAATGCAGTAAGAGCCAATCCTGAACCCACCAGATGTCACTCCTTATCAGCATTAAGGTTCTTCTCGGGTGTCCTCTGGTAGGTGAACAAAGCTATTCATGACACTGTGATACCTACCCAGAGCCCTGAGAAACTGCTGCATCTTGGGCTGATAGAACTGTTGCATGGCGTTGAATGTCTTCTGCAAACCCTCCAAGCACAGCAGTGAGATGCTCTTCCCTTTCTCTTTCTTTCCCGACTCTTCCACTGAGGTAGGAATGGATGTGTATCTCCACAGCAAGACCCTAAAGTGTGGGAAAGTTGTTCTGTCAACATGGACCATTAATGTCAGTCTACATGTAGGAAACTTTAGCCTGTGTAAACAAAGGTTCTGTGAAGTTTCAGAAACTTACACATGGGAAACTGCCTCACCATTGAGGTATTTCTATACCCCCTTAATACTCAATTCTCCTGGATTTACAAGCAACTACTGGTCCTTTTTTCCTCCACAATTAAGTGTTCTACACGTCACCCTATCCAAGTAAATCTTTCAGATTTACCTCTTGCTGCAAATATAGATGGCATCCTTTTGTTTACTGTTAAGCAGGGCCTCATTACCCAGGATTGTCTTTTAAAATCTTTTCCTTTTAAAATTTTTGTACGAAAGCTTTGCCAATGTGCAAAGCCTGAAGAAGGGGTCAGATGCCCTGGGATTGAGTTTCGAGCGACTGTGTGGATGCTAGAAATAGAACCGGGTTGTCTGGAAGAGCAGCCTTAACCTCAGAGCCATCTCCAGCCCAGCGAGGATGTCTCACACTTGCTGTGTGGCTGAGAATGAGTTCAAACCTCTGACCCACCGAGTGCTGGGATTATAGGCTTGTGCCACTGCACCTGGCTTTTTGTACTGCTGGAGATCAAACCCAGGGCCTCAGACCTGGTGGGAAAGTTTTCTTAACTGACTACTGTGGTGATATCTTGCTTATACAAATAAAGCTTATCTGAAGATCAGAGGATGGAGCTTGCCACTAGCTAACCATAGAGGTCAGGAGGTCTGCGCAGACAGACAGGAAGTGAGACAGCTGGGCAGAGACAGAAAGTGAGATGGTGCTGGGCAGTGGTGGCTCACGCCTTTAATCTCAGCACTCGGAAGGCAGAGGCAGGTGGATCTCTGTAAGCTCGAGACCAGTCTGGTCTATAAGAGCTAGTTCCAGGACAGGCTCCAAAGCCACAGAGAAACCCTGTCACGAAAAAACAAAACAAAACAAAAATAAGAGATGGCTGGGTGGAGAGATGAATATAAATAAGCAGGAAGAAATAGGAATTTGCTCCCTTTTCCCACTGGGAAGCTAATGAGGTAAAGGTGGCTTTGGCTTGCTCTCTTCTCTCTGATCTCTCAGCCTTTTCCTCTATATCTGACTCCGGGCTTTTATTGTTTAGACCAATTAAGAACTCCATTTACAAGCTACATACCCAGCCCCTATTCTTTTCTTTTCTTTTTTTTTTTCTGGTTTTTCGAGACAGGGTTTCTCTGTGGCTTTGGAGGCTGTCCTGGAAATAGCTCTTGTAGACCAGGCTGATCTCGAACTCACAGAGATCCACATGCCTCTGCCTCCCGAGTGCTGGAATTAAAGGCGTGTGCCACCAACACCCGGCCCTATTCTGTTTTTATAGCCGAGTAGTATTCAATCTATTGTAGGGATGTAAGTCTATCCATTTGCCTTTTTATTATTATCATTATTATTATTTTTTTTTAATTACATGTTCATGTGTGTGTAGGGTGTATGTACTAGTGTACTAGTTGACTGCCAAGAAGGCCAGGAAGAGGTAACTGGGTCTTCTGGAACTTCTGGAGTCAACAGGCAGTTGTGAGCAACTCAGCATGGGTGTTAAGAGCCAAACACCAGTCCCCTGCAAGAGTAGCCAGTGCTCGTAACTGCTGAGACATCTTCCCAACCCATCTTTTTACTTCACTTTAGCAGTATTTTAATTTTATCATATCTAAAGAGCTTTGTTCTTATTTTCCCCCCTTCATGCACTTACCTATTCTCTTTACACATTTTCTTCACTATTAGATAATTTTTTTTTTCTTTTTCTGACCCCCTTCCCTTCGACTGGGTGTCTCCCTCCCCTTTTGTACTCTGCCTTTAAAAAAATCAAAACGAAATAAAACAAAAGGCACCTTTTATATATTTATTATTTACTCCCTTTCTTAGGTTTACTTCACCTTATTCTTGGACTTTCTCATTACAGAGAAATTGTTTTTGCTATTTATCATTTTATATTATCCATCCCTATCTTTCCCCTAATTCCTTGTTCTCCCTTAGTAAGTCTTCTTACCTCTCTTTTATTTAACTTTCCTTCTCTATTTTCCTTTCTTCTCTTCTCTTTCTCTCATCATTTACTATTTCTATATTTGGACTATATAATTTTTAACACACCCTATAACATTTACTGTAACTTCAGCATACCCTGTAACACTTGCTGTTCTATGGTCTCTGGTTATGTGAATAAGTGTGCATCAATGGATTTTTTTTCCCCTGGGAATTGAACTCAGGACCTCTGGAAGAATAACCAGTGTTTTTAACCTCTGAGCCATCTCTCCAGCACCCGCACCAATGGATTTTTAGAATATTTCTTTTTCTCAGATGGTTTGATGTCATTGTAACCATTTGTTTTGAGTAGAATTAGGGACTGCCGTTTGTTGTGGGTACTGGGATCTGAACAGTATTATACCCTTTAGACTGATGAACACCCCCCCACCTCTTTAAAAAGATTCATTTCTTTTAAATATTATATGTATGAGTGTTTTTCCTGAATGTTGCTTGCTGCTCTTGCAGAGGACCTAAATTCAGTTACCAGAATCCACCTGGTGGCTCACAACCATCTGTGTCTCCAGTTCCAGGGGATCCAACTCCTTCTGGCCTCCACAGCACCATTCACACATGGTACATGTACATACTTTCTTTTGAGCTACAACCTGCTGGCCTAAAATTCACTACACAGCCCATGTTGGCAATCCTATTTCAGCCTTCTGAGTGCTAGGAATACAGGTGTGAGCCACTACAAATGGCTTAAAATCCTAAATTAAGTTAGTGTGTGTGGTGTGTGTGTGTGGGTGTGTGTGTGTGTGTGTGTGTGCGTGTATGTTTGTATGTATGTATGTATATGCATGTCAGAGGACAACTTTCAGGAACTGATTCCAAGGATCAAAACTCAAGTCATCAGGTTTGGTGACAAATTATGAATTATTATTGTTCAAATTATTATCCATTAAAAAATAACTCGAGGACTGAAAAGATGGCTCAATGAGTAAAGTATTTACCACACAAGTGTGAGAATCAAAGCAGAGGTGGGCTTGGACCTTTTACCCTACAGGTGAGAACAAAAATCTACACCCATAGAAACTTGATGACAGATCAAGTTCAGGGGGCACCAGTGTTCCTGCTGTGATGATTGGTCTTGGACTGGAATCCTATTCTTGGAGGCCATTTATAGAAAACAGAAAAATCACCAAGCCCATATTTTAATTTTAAATTATGTGTGTCTGTCTGTGCATGTGTGAGTTACAAGTGCTCACAGTCAAGAAGGCATCAGATCCCCTGGAGCTGGAGTTACAGATAGTTGTGAGCCTCCTGGTGTAGGTGGTGAGAACCAAACTGGGGTGGTCCTTGTATAGTTTTTTCTGAGATTAAAACCTGCCATTTTGGAGGGAAGCTCCTCAAGACACAGGATGATAGAGGGTGGTGAAACAATAGATGTTCCAGATGTTTTCATGGTAGTGAAACAACTGGATGTACTAAGGGAAGGTAGAATACTTCATCCTCCAGGCAGTCTCCTTTAGCTCAGGAAGTTAATAATTCAAAATAGTCAAAGGAAGTCCCTGAAACTAACTAGATTCACAAGGCCCCTCCCTCTTCAAGCATAAATAAACAATAAAGTCTACTGAGAGACACTCTCAGACTAGCTGGGCTATCTGGAAAGGCTACCTGCAGGCTGTGCAGTGCACGCCAGGTTTCCAGCATTTGTGGACTGCCACCCATGCTGGGGTGGGCTTTGGTGATACAGCTGGCTTTGAGTCATTTCTGTTCCTATGAATAACCCCACACCCATATTTCTGTAAATTACCCCAATAAAAATCATGGATTAAATAAATAGAATTTTGGTGGCATTCTTATTTTGATTTGTCATCAAGTTTCTATGGGGTTAGACTTTTGTTCTCACCTGTAGGGTAAAAGATCCGAACCTACTTCTACATGAAAATACTTACCAAAACCCACCAATCCCTGGGCTTGGTTTGAAATCTTACCCATTCCCACTCAGGAAAACTCCAAGAAACCCTATATAACCCTGTCTCCTGCTCAGTTCCCAGTTGCTTCTTATCAAAGCAGATGGAGCCACCTTCTTGTGTCTTTCCCAATAAATCTCTTGTGTGAGGTTTGTTGTATGATATGATCTTGTAGTATTTCTTGGCTCCAGACTGCCAGGATACCTTTCCCTTCAGAGCTGTAACACTTGTGTAGGGGAAACCTCTCCCCTCCGAGCTATAACACATGCACTGGGGATTTCCCCTCAGAGCTGTAACACTTACAATACCTCCCCAGATATAGTGTCAGACAATAGCAGTATTCAGTTCTTAACTCTGGAGCCATCCTCCAGCCCCCATGGTAAACTCTGATCAAAGTACTGTGTGCACATGAAAAGAATGTAGTTAGAAGCTGTTCTGAGCCTTCAACAGATGTCAACTCAGTAAAGAGGATGCTAATGCTGTTCAGGTCTTTACCTCATTCCCGTTTTGTCTAATTCTTTCAGATTTATTGCTTTTAAAGAAAGATTTTCCTTCATTTTAAATTATCTATATGTGTATTCTGTATGTGGATATATGAATGTGAGTGTATGAATGTGAGTGCAGGAGTCTGCTTGGTCCAGAAAAAGCCATTGGATCCTTCTAGACCTAGAATTAGAGGGGACTGCCACCCATCCTGTATAGGTGTAAGGAACTGAACCAGGGTCAAGAACAGTACACACTCTTAACTGCTGAGTCATCACTCTGGGCTATTTATTTATTTGCTTTAAAGTATTTTTAATCTGTTGTAAGGTGCATGTACATTTAGGATCGTCATGCTTACTTGATGCACAATTCAATCACTATGTAATAATACCCTTTTCCTTCCTGGGAATGCAGTAAGATTTTATATGAGACAAAGAATCCACACAAAACAAGAGAAAAAAGACTCACTACAAGACACTACACTTTCACTCCTAATCATGCCCAATTGTTCTGTCCCTAATTTTCTATCTTGCAGAATTCATAACACACATGCTAGCAAACAGTTTGAGGTGAGAGTGGCTTACCGAGTTATGTCACAGAGGTTCTGAAAGACCTTGTCTGGGTTCTGGCCATCAGGACCACTCACGTGCCCTGTTCGTATCAGCTGCTGTGTCTTCTGCAGAGCTACGTTCACGGCATATTGCATAAACTCACTGCTGGACCGAAGGACAGACAGGGCCTCTTCATGACTCTGGATACTATCTCTAGAGAAAGAGCGAAGGAAGGAAGGAGCTGAGCCTCGTGATATGGCCTGTAATCCCAGCAACTGTGAGGTAGAAATAGGAAGATTTCAGGGCCTAAATGGGAAACTGAACATGGACCTATCCAAATAAAAAAAGTGGGTGGGATACAGCCGAGTGGTGAATACCTGCCTAACACACTCAAGGCTTGTTTTTAACCCCCAGCACTACATACGAGGGAAAGAAATTTCCCTCCTGTTGCTAGCACCTGTGACTAGGCTTTCTAGAGACTTGGGAAGAGCAGCACTCAGCAGGCTTCAAGTAAAGACTCATGGAGCCTCGTAAGCTGAGTCACTGCCACTGCCATGCTGCTCTAACTCACTCTGCTTGTTGCTGCCTCAGTTCCTCCCTCTCCCCCATCAATCCCCCACACTTTAATGAAATCAAAGCATCGGTCTTGTCTTTTTGACTTTTGATTGTCCTGTTGCTATTTAGTTCAGTTTCTCCTTTCTATCCCTTTAATCTGTTGTTGTGTACAAAGTTCTAAGGAGATCTTACAACACCACTAGAATTCATCCTTGTCATTCATTAGTCCATGGCTTCTCACTTGCTTTAATAATTTTGAGGTACACCCTCCCTCTTTAGAATGCCTACCTTGGGTTATATGCAATTTTCATGTTAAGAAAATTAAAACCTCCTAACTCATTTCCTACTGTATATAATATGGCATGAATTGTGACTCCAAACTAAGCAACACGGGAAAGCTGGGCACATGTTCTCTTACCTGAAAAGAGCAGTGAGAAGGTCAGACACAAATTTCATGGACAAAAGACTGTCATTTGTCTTAGCGGTCATTTTAGTTTTGCCTTTACCAGCTTTTTCGGCAAGGATGTCAGAGAAATTCTTGTAACACATAAATAGGCTGAGGATTTCCTCAAACTTACTCTTGCTGCAGAAAAGGAAAGAGAGAGCAACAGCCAGCAGTGTCATTACTGTGTGGTTGGGTTCACGGAAATTCCCATGCTTCTTCAAATCTCCACTGTGAGTTAATGCGCCCTCATTAGCATGGTAATTCTAAGTTACAGAAATCTCTGTAAGCCCCTTTTTCTTTCCTCTGATTTGGTCCAGTCAAAGAAGAAACCTGGAAGCCCAGTACTACCACTAATAAAATTTTATATTAGAATCAGTAGTACTTAGATTCAGGATCTGGGAACTGTGAATACATGAAAGCGTGCAGGAAGTCAAGATTCACAGGCCTGGTGGAAAGAACATAGTGTGGACTTATTAAGAGATAATATTAGCTGGGCATAATAGTGCAAGACTTTAATCCCAGCACCTGGGAAGCAGAGGTAGGCAGATCTCTATGAGTTCAAGGCCAGTCTGGTCTACAGAGTGAGTTCTAAGCCATTCAGGGCTATGTAACGAGACTTGTCTCAAAAAACTCAAAGAAAAGCCACATGGCCAAATGAATTTGCAAATAAAAATTAGACATGTGAAATTGGTTAAAAAAAAAAAAAACTCAAAGAAAGAGAAAGACATAATAGTATAGTCTTTGTTCTTTTCATGTCTAATGTAATGTCCAAGTAAACCAGCAAATGATAAAACTATATGAAAGGTCACATCGATCCTTACCTGAAATTACTTATGGAGAAATTGTACTCTATTAGAACTTCACACACTCCCATTATGAGACATGCACAGACATTATTCTTGATGCCAACACTAGTGCTCTGAGAAAAATCTGCTGATTTATCCTAAAAGACAAATACAAATTAACACACTGCTAAAACCTCCATTGGTCCATGCAGCTGAGAGCTCATCAATTACCAGCTCAAAGTCTTCTAGCTCACTCTTAATCATTCTCATAGTAATAGACTCCAACATATCATCCAGCTCATGGTACAATCCCTCTTCTTCTTCTCTTTCATCTCCCTGTTGCAAGGGGATCACTCTGCTCTTATACCAGGCCAAGCAATGCTGAATGCAAGACAGCAGATGATCCTGTAGAAGAAAATAAACTATAATAACCTACGACACTGTTATGAAGCCCATGGTATTTGCTGGCACCACACGCAGGTCCATCTGAACTAACAAAGCTGGGAAAGCGTGACTGAGCTAACAAAGGTGTTTCCCAAAGACTGTCCCCACAAGGAACCAACAGTTCAGAATGGAATGCCCCATGTGCTTCTCTGGTTTGACAGCAACATCATGAGAGCCCTATTATGAAGTTAAACAACCTCTAGTTCCCAAGTCCTGAAAACTGTTCTAAAGACAGGGACACCAACACAGCATCATCTCACAGCACTGAAGCTACATTAATGAAGACCAGGTAGGACAACTCAACTCCTTCCCATTTTCCTTGTCCTGAATTCAAAGTCTCTTGTGGGTGTTTAACTTTTTGCCATCCCTTCCCACCTCTCTGGAGCTAGCTATGAACCTGTCCTACTCTCTCTAGAGTTCACCAGAGTGCACACTGCAACTCAACTGAAGCCACATACTCCCTTCAGACTAAGGAAGCCGATTCATTGACTCCTGCTTGCATCTCTACTTCCATTAGTGTGTAACCAAAGATCTATAGTGGACACATATGACACTCTTTTAAGGAAGAGGTGGCTGTCATGATTAATGAAGTACTAATATGGAGACTTTGACCAAGAGATCAAAGTAGGGAGATGGCTCAGTAAGTGGCACTTACTGCTCTCATAGAGGATCCGGGTTCGAGTTTCAGCAACCACACTGTGGTTCACAACCGGCTGTAACTCCATTCCAAGGGATCCAATGCCCTCTTCTGGCCTCTAGGTACCATGGTGCATGCGTATGCATGCAGGAAAATACTCATATACATAAAATACAGTAAATCTTAAAATGGGTCACAGATAGTGGATATGGAAAAGTTAAAGAGTAAAAACTGCTTGAAAAATAACCATACCACCATAAATAACCTTACCACTGACAGTGAGACAGTGGCTGCGGGGCAGGCAAGTCTTACCAGGGGTTCTTGTAGAATGACCTGACTTCCTTGGGTCAGAACACAAGCTCCTAGTTTCAGAGGAGGTAGCAGATCAGGTTCTGGTTCATAGAACTGTTTTAACTGTGTAGGGTGAGACAGAAAAACCATGACTCATGAATACTTCTGAGTATTTAACAATTCAAGCTGAGGGCAAGGCAATGATTTTACTTTACTTGTACTGCCTTCATACCAGTCCCTAAACTTGAAAGGCAATCAGCATTTTTAGGGAGTCTGATGAAGAGCACAGGCTGCCAATCAGCATCACCGGACTAAGTGTGTTACAGAAAGAAAGAAAGAAAGAAAGAGGAAGATATGAAGGTGGAAAGGGGATGTGTTGGGGGGTGCCCGGGGGACTGGGGTGTGTATGGAGGAGATCGTCAACGAATAAAAGATTCTTAAAAAGAGTATAGACTTCCAAGTCTAATCTAGTACTATCACTTACTACTGATTTTGATAGTTATCTAAATCTTGGGTCCTCACTTGAAAAAGGAGTCTACTGGTATAACGAGAGGTTTTTTTGTCCCTGCTGATCCTGCCACCCTTGGGCCCCAAATAAGCACACAGACACTATAATTGTTATAAAACTGTTGGCCGGTGGCTTGGGCTTTTTATTGGCTAGCTCTGTCTTAATTATTAACCCATTTCTATTAATCTAAGTATTTCCATGTGGTCTTATCTTACCAGAGAAGGGTCCGGACCTTTAACTCCTTTGTCGGCTCACATGGTGACTGTTCTGGCAGGCCCTCTCTGCCTACCTTTCCCAGAATTCTCCTTGACTCCTAGTCCTGACTATCTTCCTGCCTCATTGGCAGAACAGTGTTTTATTCATCAACCAATAAGAGAAACATATATACAGAAGGACAACCCACATCATACTCTCAAAACTGGTGACTGTTCTGGCAGGCCCTCTCTGCCTACCTTTCCCAGAATTCTCCTTGACTCCTAGTCCTGACTATCTTCCTGCCTCATTGGCAGAACAGTGTTTTATTCATCAACCAATAAGAGAAACATATATACAGAAGGACAACCCACATCATACTCTCAAAACTAAAGCTACAAAACTATTATATACTATTATATATTATATATATATATATACATAACTATTATAATACACATAAAGAACAACAGAGCTTTAAAATAAATCTTGGCTATTATTTACTTCTGTCTTTTCTCTCCTGTAGCCTGCAGAATTTTACTAACCTATGTTGGAAAGCACCACTCCATGCCTCAAACACATTTTTAATTCTTGTTACAGTGTGATGATGCTTGAAAGATGTAATTTCGCTAGCATGGCACACATTTTACAGAGGAGCATGCAGACATCCAGTGAGTTTTCAGATAGCAAAGGCCTTCCAATAGCTTCCACATATCTAAGACCTTAATTTCAAATGGATTTTTTTTTCCAGAATTACCATAAAGCAATGGGGCATGGGCCTGTATCAGTTCACATAGAATTGTAGGAAAATAATGGACCAGGGGCCTACCTGAGCTCTCCCGGTAGAGAATAAATGTTATATATCTGGTTTTAAAAAAAGAAAAAAGATTCCTGATAATGCTTAATGAATGAATCTTGAGAATTTATTTATTTATATCTGATGTCTCCATCTGAACTCATCTCATCTTGATGGTCTTTTGAAATATTTCACTAATTTAAAACATTTTTGAGTTGGGTTTGTGATTTGAATAAAAAAGGCCCCCATAGGCCCATAGAGAGTGGCACTATTAGGAGGTATGGCCTTGTTAGAGGGTATGTGTCACTGGCGGGCAGGTTTTGAAGTCTCAGAAACTCAAGCCAAGTCTCTGCCTGCTGCCTGCAGATCCAGATGTAGAACACTCAGTTCCTTATCCATCACCATGTCCACCTGCATGCTACCATGCTTCCCACCATGATGGTAATGGACTCAACCTCTGAACTGTAAGCCAGCCCCAATTAAATGTTCCTTTATAAGAGTTGATGGTATCTCCTCACAGCAATAGAACCCTAATTAAGACAGGTGTGATGGCAAATATCTTTAATCCCAGCACTTGGAAGGCAGAGGCAGAAGGATGCCTGTGAGTTCAAGGCCAGCCTGGTCTACATAGTATGTTCCAGGACAGCAAGGGATATAAAGTGAGACTTACCTCAAAAGAACCAACCAAACCACTTGTTTGAAAATGTAAAATCTAAGCCTGAAGTGGCTGTGCATATTTGAAACCCTAGCACTTGGAAAGTAGAGTTAAGTCAGAAATTCAGGCAGCTTCAACTACACAATCCATTTGAGTGCACACTGGGCTATACCCATGTCTCAAAACATTACAAATACATAAAATAAAATTGAATGGTTCCATAAAGTTTCCTTCTGATTTAAGGAGAAGACTGAGAATTCAAGGAAGATTTAGAGAATAGCAAGACAGTAGCAGGTAAGTGACAATTCAAGCAAAGCATGCCTATGACTTACTAGCATTCTAGTTGTGAGTTATTTTTTATTTACAGAAGTCTGAAAAGCATGGACACATCTCAGTACCTCCTCTGACTCCCCTGAGTCATGAGGACATACTTTACCTGCGAGAAGAGAGTCTGCATGATTGAATTAGCCAGCCGAGAGTTCCGTCGAAGAACATCATAGAAGCCCTAGGAGCAACAGAGACAAGATCATTCTCTTTCTTACACTGTTCTCGGGTCTTTTTAAATGTATTGTTTGTGTGAGGCAGGGTTGGAGGACATGCCACATATGTGTGGGTGCCTGTGGAGGCCAGAAGAGGGTACTGGATTCCCTGGAGCTGAAATAATAGGCAGTTATAAGCCACCTAATGTAGGGCTAGGAAACTCAGGACCTCTGAAGAGCTAAGCACTCCTTAACTGCTATACCCATCTCTCCAGCCCATAAAATTTTCTTACTTTACATATACACACTAAAAACAGCATTCTGAGCTGGGTGGTGGCGATGGTGTAATGGGGGAGGTCCTTCTGTGTATGTTTATCTTACTGGTTGTTGAATAAAGCACTGTTTGGCCAATGAGGCAAATATGTAGGACTAGGAGTGGAGGAGGATTCTGGGAAATGTAGTATAGTCTTGTGATCTAGGCAGGAAGTGACATAGCAGGCAGACTCAAAATATAAGCAGGGACAAGCAGGAAGTCGCTCTTCCTCCTCCTCTCTGTGAAGTCACCATGTGATTGCAAGGAAGACAGGATGCATTCTGCTGGCATCCTCAATAAGATAAGTTTATAAAATATATAGATTAATAGTTATGGGTGATACTTAAGACGGAGCTAGCAAATAAGAAATCTTAGTCATTGGCCAGCAACCTAATATAAGACTCTATGTGTTATTTCAGGCACCCACATGGCAGCGGGTCTCAGGTGGCTTGGCAGAAAGATTTATTGTACAGTGGTGCAGGTCTTTAATCTGAGCATTTGGGAGGTAGAGACAGGAGGACCTTTGTGAGTTCAAGGTCAGCCTGGTCTACAGTGAGTTCCAGGGCAGCTAGAGCTGTTACATAGAGAAACCCAGTCTCAAAAAAAAAAAAAACAACAACAACAAAAAACAACAACAAAAAACAAAACCAGCATTCTGAGTTTCCATTAGGGCTGTACTGGAACTACAGATTTGAGATTTAAAATACCACCAACACCAAGTAACCTACAAATATGTCATACCTTTTTATTTATTCTTTAACTTCTCTCACAATATTTGGAGGCTTAAGTATTTCCTTTCGATTTGTTTTAAACACTTTATTTCCATTTCTAGCTATTCAATACTAGGATGTGTAATTTTAATAAACCTTCACATGGTTGTTGATCTTATCACAGCATACACTGACATGTATCTTACTAAACCACTTTTAACAGGTTAGTTGGTATTGTTGATACTATGCAAACCAAAACAGTTTTAGTTTCTCCTTTTAAATTTTTATGCCTTTATTTCTTTTTCTTGCTCTGTTGTATATGATAGTATCTCACCTATGAACAAATACCTTCATTCCTCCTCATAGGGGAAAGCATTCATTCTGTCGACATTTCAAGGCTTCACAGATTCCTCTTCTAAGAATGAGGAAGTTCTTTCTTGAATGTAGTTTCTAAAAGATTTTTTGAGGGGGAGCAATCAAGACAGGGTTTCTCAGTGTAACAGCCCTGATTGTCCTGGAACTGGATTTATAGACCAGGCTGGCCTTGAGCTCACAGAGATCCTCCTGAGTGCTGGGATCAAAGGTGTGTGCCACCACACCTGGCTCTAAGATTTTATCATAAAGGAATGTTGGTTGAGCAAGTATGTGTCCATGCATGCATGTGTCTGTGCATACATGTGTGCATGCATACATGACATAGCCTGGTAGCCCTGGCTTTCATGAATTTTTATGACCCATCTTCCTTGGTCACCCCAGTGCTAGGGTTATAAATGTGATCATTTGCCTAGCTCCCTCCAATTAATAGCTTGCTACTCTTGCAGAGGACCTAAGTTCCATTCCCAGTACCAACACCAAGGGCTCACCACAGCCTGTAACTCCAGCTCCTTGGCCTTCACAGGCACCTGCATTCACACACACACAAACCAACACACAGACATACACATACATAATTAAAAATAACAAAAGTAAACTTTAAAAAAAATTAGGGACTAGAGGTGTGGCTCACTGGTAGCATGCAGGGAGAGAGACAAAGATTGAGAGAGAGACAGAGAGAGAGAGAGAGAGAGAGAGAGAGAGAGAGAGAGAGAATTTCAGTGTTTGCAAAGGCATGACAAGAACTGAATAGTTAAATTAGTATACAATGCACCCAAAATATTTTATTTGGCTTTAAAACTCATGTTGCCAGAGAAAATTTAATGAAATGAGAAAATGTACAACATGAAGTTAGACGACAAACCTATATAAATTTTACATACATATTATATATGAACAATATATAATACTGTTGGCAATACTACTAAACAAATTTGTCTGTGTGCCTATGTCTATTTGGAGAGTAACGGTCAGTACTGAGAGTCTTCCACAATCACTGTCTACCTTAGTTTCTGAGGCAGCAGTGTTCAGGGAGCCTGGACTTGGCAGCTGGCTGGCCAGTCAGCCCCAGAATCCTCCCATTTTCACCTCTCAGCAATAAGCATTTTACTCTCCCAGATACCTTTCTAACCTAAACAATTTTTAAAAGTCCTTCCCATTTTCTACAATAAACCTGAAAATTCTGGTATCTGCCAACTTCTTCTATATAAAGATTGCTCTAAGATGACAAATGAGTACCACGTGTGTCAGCACTCCTTGTACTCCCAGCACTTGAGGAGGCAGAGGCAAGAACATCAAGAATTACAGGTCATCGGCTGCCCAGAGAATCTGAGGCCAGATTGGGCTACATGAGATCCTACTGGGAAGGACCAAGAGAGAAAAAGGGAAAAAAAAAAATGGCAAAGCTGTTCCCTAAAATGACTTCCATCTATCCTAGTTTGTTTTTAAATTTAATTTTATTTATTCTTCTCTCACACAATACATCCCAACCACAGTTTTCCCTCCCTTCACTCCTCCCAGGCCCCACCCCCACTCTACCCTCCTTGTTGAAAGTTCTGATATTCTCCATTCCTTCCTTGAAACATCTATGCTGAAATACACTACATCCTGAATCCTCAGATAAGAGAAAGAGCAGTGCATCTTTCACAATTGCTGGGTCCTGTTCGTAGCGGCTGGGCTATGATTGGTTTTCTGCTTTTTGCGAACTACTCTGTCATTTTATGTTATGTGACTGAATCAGATCTGCACCTAAAAAACAAGTATGGGAGTGAGGGAGGGAAGAAGGGAGGGAGGGAGGGAAGGAGGGATGAAGGGAGGGAGGGAGGGAACGAGGGCTGGCTTCTTACTAAAACTAAGCTAAGTGTATTAGAGATTTAAGATAGGCAACTTTAAAATTAATCTCTGATGAATCAGAGGTAAGACCACTTCAAAGGGGAAAGCCGAACCCTGAACCTTCTAAGTCTTGTCTACACTAAGTCTATCAAATGTTTCTTGACTTTTTTTTTTTTGGATATAGCTCTGCCTGCCTCTGTGTGGTGGTTTGAGAATGATACTCATAGGTTATGTTGAATGTTTGCTCCCCAGTTGGTGGAACTATTGGGAAGGATTAGGTGGGCTTTGGGGTTTCAAAAGCCTCCCACCTCCTCAAAGCGCTCTGCCTCTTGCTTATGGATTTTGGTATGAGAGGCCAGCTGCTGCTCCAGTGTCATGCCTGCCTGATGCCAAGCTCCCAGCCATGACAGTGAGAAATTCCTCTGGAGCTGTAAGCCCCATTTAAACACTTCTTCCTCGAAGCTATCTTAGCTGTGGTATTAGCAGGCAACAGAAAAATAACTAAGATACTATGCCTCTCCAGTACCAGGAGCGAAGGCATGTGCCATCATACCCAGCTCTTGGAAGTTTTTATGGTAGTTTGAGTACACAAAAACTTGAAATCTGAGGCAATAAAGTAAGGTTATGTTGTGTATGACAGAACTCACAAACCGACAAATTTGGTGTCAAATTTAGAGTGATAAATTAGTCATTTATCTAAATATTGCAGAGTAAAATAAAATGGTTAAGATATATTAATTATTTACAACTTACTATTACCACCCACTGACTCTAACTGCATAAGGGCACATCTACTGTACTTGTAGAACCAAAAAAAGACTGACACAGAAGGACTATTCTCTGGAGGGGTCGACACATTTCTCCCACTTTCCTGGCTTACCTCATAAAGCATGAGTCGAATGTCAGCCTGCTGCCCTAAACATCTTTTCAAACTGTCCATGATCTCGAGGCAAAACGTTTCATTGGCAACAGCGTTGTAGCGGCTATGGACATCCACGTGCACCTGCAAGGGAGAGTGACAGCTGGTGGCCAGCCTTCTAAAGCGGTTCCCATTAAGGAGGATGTGCTCCCAATCAGGGAAACACACTAGACCTAGCTCTCCCTCCACTGAAACACAGGACATGTGCAGATGGGATTGCCCTCGCCATGCATTCCACATCACTCATGTTGGCTTGAAACGAGCTAGGTTTAGACCATTCTAGTAAGATTGACTCTTCTGCTCCACAACGCAGCTACTCAGGAAGGCAGCTGGTTACCTCATGCCACAACGACCCAGTAGTCACAACATTCATGATTTCATTAAGAATCTCAAGACTTCCACTAAAAAGTCTAGCTCTTCACATACACAAACACCAAGGAGCTTTACAGATAGGCTAGTGTTGTTTAGCTGTGCACATACAAACAGGGAGGCAAGACACTCTTACATATAAGCAAGATCTTTAAAAAGTACATTTTAAAAAAAGCAGGATGGAGCAGATGAAGGGTTCTTTATTTAACCTAACATCCAAGTGCCTCCATTGGTAGCCCTACTAAAGAATGTAGAATTCAGAAAGAAGCTGTGTGGACCGTGGTTAACTTTGCAACAGGGGCCTCTCAGGGCCAGTTCACCGTGCTTGTCCACTCAGGAAGGAGTCTTTGGGGCTGCTGCTGAACCTGCTCACTGCCCCAGACAAAAAGACCATCATCACCACCTCTCTAGCACTATGTCTGCCTGTACACACCTTCATGTCCTGCCATGATGATAAGGAACTGAAACCTCTGAACTATAAGCCAGTACCACTTAAATGTCTTCCTTTATAAGAGCTGCTGTGGTCATGACATCTTTTCATAGCAATAAAATGATTGAAATATTTACTTTGTTTTATTCTGCTCTAAATCTTTAAATGAGCATGATAAATATATATTCTAAATGAGCATGATATATATATATATATATATATATATATATATATATAACATAACACATATATTTCAATCAAGCGTCTAGTTCAGCAGCTACAGGAAGGCTATTCTCTACCACAGCAGACAGCAGTCTAACATAGAGCAAACCCACTACTATTAAGTATGGGATGAAGACAGTCCTCACGCTTACATCTCTAGCACTCAGGAGCCAGAGGTATGAGGGTTACTCTAAGTTCAAGGGCAGCCTGAGCTATTGAGACACCGTCTAAATGGCTTCCATGTTACTGGTCTTGAAGCAATGTTCAATAGACAGAGTGACCCTTACCTGAGTGGCACCAATAGACTGACTGCACTGTGAGGACGACAGGCTGCCTAAGACTTTAAAGTTCTTCAAGAGCAGCAAAAATCCAGCAACGGCAGATTTCCGGGAATCCAGCTGGCTAGCTCAAGAATACACAGAGAAGTTAGCAGCACAGGAATATGCAATGCAATGCAATGCAAAAATTTACACAGGAGGAATATGAAGACTACTTATGGACAATCAAGCACAAGCCAAGCCTAGCTGAATTATAAGCTCAAAATAAGGTACCAGGTGTTCAGAGCAACATGAATGCAGTTGATTGTTTTCATTATCTAGTTAACCCCATGACTACCTGTACTTTTTATCCTGCTTGCAAGACTCCATGGCAATCTGAAGAATCCTGAGAGGCTATAATTGGGCTGAAACTCAAACCTACATACTGAACTGCAATGGAAATTGCTGAGTTTTGCTGTGTCTGAATGAGTGTATTCTCCTATAAGTTTCCTGTTTATAGAGGTGCACAATACTTGATGCCATATAAACCTTCCATCCAGAAAAATGACAACTTCTGGCTGTGGCTCAGTGATCAGGTTATAACACATAGCCCTGTCTAGCCCGAATGCTTTTGGGTGAAGAGTAATAAAAGACTGTCAGTTCTAGAACAGAGATAACAGCTACTTGCCAGTTATTCCTCTGGACATATATGAGAGCATTATAACCAACTTGGTAACTGGGTATCCTATCCTCCAAGAATCAAATGCCTTCCACGCATCATTGTATTACATTTTTAGGAGACAGTATTAATCATCTCTAGCTTATATACTAAACAATAAAGGAAGAGGTATGGGGGGGGGGGGCACTGGGTAAGCTCCAAGGAGGACACAGGCCCTTTAATAATCACTGGGTCCGCTAGTGTCTGGGCCACAATTTTGCTGCCTACAAAAGTGAGATAGTTGAGTATATTCTTTTTGACTCCTTTCCCCTTGGTGTGGTGGTTAGCTTAAGTTTTCAAGCCTTTGCATGAGGTACTGTAGGGGTGGGAGAGTGGGGTGCTGGAGATCACCAATACTGATGGTAGACTATTCCCAATACCATGCGTTATCTAACCTTTAGTTACTTATCTTGTCTAAGCCTAACTGTCCCTGTGCAAAATGAGACCTGTAATAGTTTGCACTTCCTGATGTTGCCTGGAACTGAATGAAAAGCAGGAAAAACCTTTGGCATGATGCCTCACCTGCTTAAGAGTGTTGTGCCGAGTTAGGGATCCGCATGACCGCTGTGAGCAGGGGCAAGCAGGAAATAGCAGGGATAACTTACATTAGAAGGTGTAGCCCCCCTGTGGTCTCAAGGAATGCGACATACCTGGCAAACATAGCTTTCCGCAAGACGAGGATCAAGGCATCTCTCATCGACATGCTGACTTTGAGAAGCGGCTGAAGAACAGAGTAGATCACCCACCCCATATTAGCTTAGCTCCTTTCTGTGAATGCCACTGGGATTCTGTGTGCTCTGGGTCTGTTTGTATATATGGCCGATGCTGATTATACTTAAAGACAACGGAGCACTTTGAAATAGTAACTTGAAAGTTGTTACTGTCAGGCATGGTGATACACTCTATAATACTGTGATGCTACATCTATTATTTAAATAATCCTGTATTTATCTAAAATTTATTTAATATGATACTGTAATCCCAGCAGCTCAGGAGACTAGGGCAGGAGAACTGCGACAATTTGAGACCAGCCTTGACTACCCAGTGGGTTTCAGGGTAGCTTGGGCTACAGAGTGAGATCCTATCTCAAAAATCAATCAATGACACAAACAAAAGAGTAGTTTGAGTGCCTTCATGAACCCACTGTGCTGACTAATTTTCTAAATTGACCAATCTGAAAATGAGCTGAAGGAAATAGACCTACATGGGTGTGTGTGTGTGTGTGTGTGTGAGAGAGAGAGAGAGAGAGAGAGAGAGAGAGAGAGAGAGAGAGAGAGAGAGAGAGAGACAGACTTGGGAAGCAATCCTTCTCTGTGCATTTAGCCCTTCATCATGAAACTGTGTTAGGCTCAGAGGAAACACAAGTTCTGGCATACGTGTTTATGAAAGATGTTCCAGACTTTCCCTTCTAGACAGTTAAAGCTCGGGTCTGGGAAGCAAGCTGGTGTGTCAGATGACTTACCTGCACAGCCTTGAGCAGACCTTGTACTGTCTGAAGAGGCAGGAAGGACAAATAGTCGAAAGTCTCCGTGACTTTAGAACAGCTCTGAAGAATTAAAGGTGCATACAAGATGATATCTGAAAGCAGGTCTGAAAGCAGAATCTATAGTTAGTTGCTTCACATAAGTATAAATAAAGATAAGGAATCATCTAACATCTGTATGAGGAAAGAGATGTTGAATGTTTTTGTCTTCTTTATTAAAATATAAATTTCTATTGCCTGTACATAATTTTTCCCAGTGTTACCAGGATAGTTTACCATTTTTGTGATTATACAAAATAGCAAAATAAAAATGTCTAAAAGAAAGAATACAACTAGGGCTAGAGAGATGGCTCAGCCATTAAAGGCTAGGCTTACAACCACAAATATAAGAGTACAAACCATTACACTGATTGCACAAGTGCCAAATGTATTCAACATTAGGTCCTATCAAGAATATATAATATATATAATATATATATATATAACATATATATATTTTTTTTTTTTCTTTCAAGAATTTTAGTACTTAGAACACAAGCAAAAATATCTCAAAAGAAAAATAACAGACTATCAAGTACCTAGTAATTCCAAACATGTATTACCTAACACACAGTAAAAACAGAATTTAAACAGGAAGTGCACAAGAAGAGGTCATTGTGGGTATTTTAGAAGATAAAGATAAAGAATTATTCAAGGTTGTGAAGGAACACAGGCCGACTGTGCAGGAAAGTCTAAGAACAACACAGAAGGGGATAGGAGGTCAGTAGATGAGTCGAAGGATCTAGAATAGCAAAATCGGTGTGGAAAAGGTAGGTTAGGACTGAAGTGCCAGCACTTGAAACGTCAGGAGGCCAGGCTGGCTTCAAATTTGCAATCCTCCTGCCTCTGCCTCTAGAGTACTGGATTACAGATGTGTATCATTGCCACGTCTGGTGAGAGATGATAATTTAGAAAAGAACGTACTGGCTGGGCTGTGGTAGCATATGCCTTTAATCCCAGCTGGGGATTAATAAACTGAGTGTCTAACCAGAGAAAGAACAGATTACATGTAAAACAAGTACAAGAAAGAAAACAAAAGTGGCAATCATCAAAGTGAGAACACAAAGCAATGCATCAAAAAACAGAAAGCTGTTTGGAAGTTCTCGGGAATGAGAAAGGAGCCACTAACAGAGGAGGGGTCCATCGTCAGGTCCAGGGGTATGCTTCCTACACATCTCCACCCAATCTTAGGCTTGACGTCACATTTTGCAGTAATGTCATACAGAAAGAAAATTTTACAATTTGGTAAAGTCTAACTTATTAATTTTTTTTTAACATTTCCTCCTTCACGTACTATTTTTTAATAAACCTTTCTCCAACAGTTTCTAATTATTTAACACTGTCACCAGCATTTGGTGAGGTCATTTTTTAAATTTTATTTTGGAGACAGTGTCTGACTATGTACCCTTAGTTAACCTGGTGCTTGAACTCACAGAGATCCTCTTGTCTCAGCCTCCTGAGTGTTGGGATTAAAGGCGTGTGCCATGATGCCTGGCCATGGTCATTCTTTTTAAGTTTATGCATTTTAATAGGTGTACAACAGTATCTAGTTATGCTGTTTAATTTCATTTCCCCAGTGCCTAAACTGAATATGGAAATATTCACAGTATATATACATGTTAAGTCATTAAATTGTCATCCTTTAAATGTGGAGATTATATCAATTAGACATCATAAAGTTATAAGGTATAACAAAATATTAATTATTGAACTTTATTGAACTCTAAAATTTAAGGGTTAAAGAAAAGTTACCAATAAAAAGTGTGTGTGGGATGATGACAACTGGCCATCGGCATGATAAGAAACCCAACAATTACAGTTCTGAGGACCTTCTCGAAGTCTCACAGAAGCCAAAACAGGTCAAACAACAGACCATTTAGCAAAACTGGTGGGTAAGAAAAAGGCAATGGATTTCAACACTAGGAGATACCTAATAAAAACAGACAGGTAGAGATCAATACATGGAAAAGGACAACACCAGAGTGATAAACTCAAGACCAGAGTCTCAGGCGTTCAAGGCCAGCATCTGTCACTTAGCAACACAATAGGCCTCACTGGAGACCTGTAAACAAGAATGCACAATGGACATCCCGCTCATCACTTAAATATTGCCTTACTGACACCAGACAAGTGGATTCATCTATCTTATTGGCATCATAGTCAGACACAATACATTAAACTATTACATCATTATTAAGGACCTTTGCTTTCTTTTCTTTTTTCCATTTCTCCTGTGTGTGCATGGTGTGTGTGTGTGTGTGTGTGTGTGTGTGTGTGTGTGTATTGTGCATGAGTGTATATGCGTGTGCTGCATATGTGTGGGAGCACGTTGAGTGATGTGTGTATGTACATGCATGTAGAGATTGGAGGTTGAATCTGGAAATCATCTTTGATCCCCTCCCACCTGATTCATCAAGGCAAGGTTTCCTAGTCAAACCCACAGCCCATCAATACGGCTACTTTTGCCAGTCAGTTTGCTCTGGGGATTCCCTCCTCCATTTTTTGAGGCCACCCAGCCCACCTGGCATTTTGTGGGTTCTGAGGACCCAATCTCAAACTCCAGCTGAACACAGTGGGCATTTTAACCACCGAGCCATCTCTCACACACTGTAGATGTTTGTTTTCTCCCTAGGCCTGAATCGTGACATTTAAAAGGAAATATTCTTAAGAATGTATTTGAAGTTCGTACCTAAGAAATGATTGATGGGAGAGGATGTCCGAGTAACGACTCTATTGAGGACTTGCTCCAGAATTTCCTGTCTGATCATCTCGTGAATCTGAAAGAATGGAATCAACAAAGCATGCCTGGGTGACTTTCAGCTTGTTAGCACATCAATACATGTTAGGCAGAACAAGAATAATTTGGACATGTGTGAAACTCAACTTTTCTGACAAATCAGGATACAATATGAATCATCTGGAAAAAGAATCAGCTCTTTCCTCATTCTTCACCCAAATGATTTGTTAGGCAAGGAAAGTGCTTATTGTATTAATGTAGAGGTGTGGCTCTCACAAACGCCAAGATTAGGCATCAAGGCCTACTCCCACTTTAGGTGTCCAGTACAGTCAACAGCCACATTTCTGACAGAATCAGTAACTTTTATCCCTAAATGTAAAACTTAAATACCCATGGAAAATTTTAGAAACAAAACAACAAAATCTTAACCATAGTCTTCTCAGCTCCAAGAAGCAGAGCAGGTGTATCAAAAAAAAATTAAGAAATTTAACTTGTATTTTTTCTAAACTCTTATTTGAATTTGGTTACTCTGACATTCTAGATATTTTAAACTTGATAGTTACTGATTTAATAGCAATTATATGCTCTATAGATATTTTGATACAATCAGCACCTCTGAAATCAAATGGAACATCTTGTTTTTTAAAAATATAGATTTTAAACAAAAATTCATTCTAAGAATGTTGTTAACCATATTTCTTTTCAAAAGTGTATGAGTGTTTTGCCTGCATGTATGGATGTGCACCATGTGAATGCCTCGTTCTCAAAGAGGCCAGAAGAGGGTGCTGGAGACCCGGAGCTGGAATTACAGTGGGTTGTGGCCCCCATGAGATATTGGGAACAGAACCCAATCCTCTGCAAAAGCAGCAAGTGGTCTGACGTGCTGAGCATCTCTCCAGGACCATGGTGGTTCTTCATCGTCAACTTGATTTTGGCTTTGTTTTGAGACAGGGTCTCTCTATGCAGCCCTGGTTGTCCTGGAACTCATTTCACTATGTAGACCAGGCTGACCTCAAACTCACAAAGATCTCATAGAGATCTGTCTGCCAGTCTCCTGAGTCCTAGGATTAACGGAGCACTTCTGGCACTGCTAGCCCGTGATGAAACACAGACTACGCTGAATGTGGACTGAAGTATGCAGTAAGCTAAGAGACAAAGAAGGAACAAGCCAGCTAGTACAGGCTTGACCTGGTCTGTCTCCTTCTGTTTGTCTCTTTAGCTCTTTTGTGCGTTCTGTGGTCTGTCTCTCCACTTTCCAGCCCTATCAGGTGAGTAGCCTCCTCTGTCCTGCTCCTGCTGCCTTGAATGATATTCTGACACATCTAGGCCCAATGGCATTGAGTCAGTCAAGCACAGACTGAAACATCTGAAATTGTGAGCCAAAATAACTCCTCTTTGTAATTTGTTTCTCCCAGGTTATGCCAGAGACAAAAGGCTGGCATACTGTTTACTAGAGGGAAAGAAATCTACCTGCCATTCAAACTTAAGGTTTTAGTGAAAACTCCTGGTTCAAGGCAATACAGTGGAAAACTATCTAGGAAGACACCCAAGGCTCTACTCCGGTCTTCTGTACACATGTGCACACAAGGACAAGTGTACTCACACGTTCACATGCATATACCTTTCCCTCTCTCAACACAAATAAAAAGAAAGAAAAATGAGTGTAATCTGGATCTGTAAGGTTTCAATACCACCCCAAGCTGTCACACACACTCTGCCAATTGTCAAACTTCCTTACATGCCAAACTTCCAGGCAACATCTTGCTCTATTTATATTATTTAGATATAATTTGAAATTGGTAGTCAAGTTAGACTCTTACTGTCTTAGTTAAGGTTACTACTGCCGTGATGAAACACTATGACCAAAGCAACTTGGGGAGGAAAGGGTTTGTACAGCTTATGCTTCCATATCACAGTTCATCGTCAAAGGAAGTCAGGACAGGAACTCAAGCAGCGTAGTGACCTGGAGGCAAGAGCTGATGCAGAAGCCACAGAGGAGTGCTGCTTAGTAGCTTATGCTTTATGGCTTGCTCAGCCTGATTTCTTACAGAACCCAGAACCACTGGCCCATGTATGCCACCAACCACAATGGGCTGTGCCCTCCCTCACTATTAATAAGAAAATGCATTACAGGCTTGCCCATAGCCAGATCTTACGAAGGCATTTTCTCAACGGGGGCTCCCTCCTTGCTGATGACTCTAGATTGTGTCAAGTTGACATAAGACTATCCAGTTCACTTACCTTAAAGGTTTCCAGCAAGATATTAGCTCCCAGCTTACATGCATGCTGGTTTGTCATTTTAGAAAGACTGGAGCCAATTTCAACAGCTCTCCCATCAAGAATCTTTTTTGGCCCATATGAATCCATTAAAATGAAACCAAGTTCTATCAGACCTTGAGTTACATGATCCCAACTGTGAACACTGCAAGAAAACAAAGTGTAATCAAGAGAATCTTAGAAAATACCCATCCTCATACACAATGGCATTTGCTCATTTAACTCAGATCTCCTTTCTCTGCACGCACTGTTATTTGACAGAATTCTTACTGTGGTCATAGAAATGTAGGCAACAGGTTTCCAAGGCAGACAGAACACTTACTTAGGGAGAATCCATAAATTATGGGCTAGAGGTGCAGCTTAATGGTAGAATGCTTATCTAGCACATACAAGGCCTTGGATTCAATCCTCAGTCAAAAATAAAAGAAAGTATCTAAAATACTTTAAAAAAAAAACAGAAACCAAAAATATAAAAAGAAATATACAGTATTTCAATGCAATGACCATTTGCAGTTTCCACTCAATATTTCACAACCAGTAGCTTTTTCAATTCTCCTTTCTATGCAGCACAATGTACACACTTAAAAAGTTGTCCCTCTCTAGACTGAGATTCTGGAGGGTTCAGACCATCATGTAGTCACATTTTTACCCACATAGCCCAGGCACAAAGCACTCAGTAAAGCATTATAGCATAGATGGATGAATGATGTGGTTGCAACAGGATGAGCTAAACTACAAATAACCTTTGTAAGCAAAAGAACCTTAGTGACCACCACTTGATGTCACCCTTTATCGTGGCAGGGATGAGCTTAAATTGGTCTTTACATCAACCTGTTCAGACACAGGAAAAGTGTAAGGCAGCACTAAACAACAAATGAGACAGCTGTGCATCTTAACAGATTTAACAATATTCACTCTGGAGAGAAAGATCAAGATAAATAAAGTATATGTTCCATTCTTCCACCCTAGTACTTAGAACATAGCAAGATACACACATGGGGCTGGGGATGTAACTCAGTTGATAGAGTATTTTTCTAGCATACAGGAAGTCCTGGGTTCAATCCCCAGCACTGCATAAGACTGAGCATGGTGACATACACCTGCAATTACAGCGTTTGAGAGGTAGATGCTGGACAGTCAAGGTCATCCATGGCTATACAGTAAGTTCCAAAGCCAGCCTGGGATACATTAGACCCAGTCTCGAAAAAGGCTGAGTATTACGGCCTCCTCTGTCCCCAGACCCCTGTCGTCCATGGCAGGTCAGGATCTTGTTTGGGATATGATGGAGAATATCCCTTTGAGGCTCTTGTAGTAAGGTGGTAGACAGGGTACAGTCATGGCCTTCCCACTGTGATTACAGGCGTACATTGTAATGCCTGTCTTTTTACATGGGTACTCATGCTCACATAGCAAACACTTACCAACTGAGCCATCTCCCCAATTGCACAAAACAAGAATATCAGTGTTTAGGAAAGATATAAATCACTATAAAGAGTACAAACCTAAGTAACATGTAGCATGAAAAAGGAAGATGCATGAACGTAAACTTAAATTTCAGAATAGCAAAGATTAGACAAAAGTTGTAAAAGTTTCTATGAAGAAAAACACAGGTTATCTATGATAACACAGAAATCAGATAATCATCAGACTTTCCACCAGCAAGCAAACAATATCCAGATACAGAACAGACAGAGATGTTTCAGAGCCTGTTTAGCGAGTGGAACACTCTGAGAACTCAGTTTCTCTAATTTGCCTGATGTGCAGAGTTCACATCTGAATCTGAATCAGAATTCCATCCAGCACATGAAAAAGACCTTAAATTATGGCTTAAAGTGTAAAACTTTATATTTAACCCATAGACAAAGAAAAGTATGACAGAATATTGTTACAATAACTACTTACCCTGCAATTAATAAACAAAATAAAACAAACATCCTACTGTTTTCCTTGTAGTTTAAGTAGGACTGTATAAAACTGTTAAGTCAATGGTCAAAGATAAGTTAGTATTTTTCACTCACTTAAGAAGGTGCCAATAAAGACTTAGGCTAAGAGCGCTGCAGCATGAAAAAAAAAAAAAAAAAAAAAAAAAAAAGAACAAGACAATGCTTTATATTCTTGTTAGACAGCAGGTGTCTAAGAAATCAGGCCCTGAGATGGAAGGGTTTTTTTTTCCCTTCAATATAGAAACATTTTCTCTTACCATTTATAAGGGACAGAACTTTAATCTTACAAAGTCATTAACGATAGCCGTCAGTCTGCTTTGGGTGGACTTAAGTGTGGGTCCACACTGCATTTTCTAACCCAAACCCTCAAACACTTTTAGAATATGGTTCATCAACTCACCTATTTTTTGCCACTTCTAAGATCATGGATGAAACACAAGTTTTCTGAGGGACGAGATTCTGAAGAAATTTTGAGCCTTGGAGGAGCTGAAGATCCTTAAAGCTTTTTATAACTGAAGTCTTTAAAAGATCAAACACCTGATATAATTGAAGAAATGAGAAAATGATCCAAAATTATAGTTTCTGGTCTGAGATAATCGCTGCTCACACACAGCCCTATGGTGACTGTTTAAATAGACTGAGATGATACAAAAGTTGTTGAGCTTCTTCATGAGAAAAGGGTGAAATGTTAATATATTATAAAATATATTATAAATAAACATTTCCTATGCCAGGTCTGGTGGTGCATGTCTATAATCTGATATTCAAAGGTTGAGGCAGGAGGATTACAAGTCTGAGGACAAATCACACAACTTATTTGGATTTGGGGAACTGCATGCCACGGTGCACATGGAGAAGTCAGAGAACCATTTTTGGGAGTTGGTTCTTTCCTTCTACTATGCCATTCCTAGGGACTGAACATCCATCATCAGGCTTAGTACCAAGTGTTTTCAGCTGCTGAGCCATCTAACCAGTAGCTCCCTTGTCTCAAATTACTTAGTAATCAACAGAGACAGGTGTGTAACTCAGTGGTCTACCACCTGCCACCAAATGTGAGGCTGAATCAATGTTCACCCAAAAAAAAAAAAAAAAAAAAAAAAAAAAAAAAAAAAAAAAAAACATTACGCATAACCTTGGAACCCACAAGAAAAAGAGAGCAAGAACTTTATGCTTTTCTCATTGATTATCAGGCATAGTTCTTAGAAAGGCTACCATGAAGCTGCTGCTGAAAAGCCACCTAGGCTGGCTTTCTAGTAGCTTGAGCATGCCACGTGACTCTGTTACTCCACTCTACCATCTGGCTATCTCAATGGGAAATGAAGGCACACTCCAGGAATCTGAAGTTTTCCAGCAGCCTAGAACAGTGGTCTTTGTTGCTGGTAGGATAGGGAAGGATACTAACAAAAACAGGTTTTTGTATGCTTTCTTGTCAACTATAAAAGGAATAGAAGTATCATTTAAAAAAAAAAATACCTGTTCCTCAAATCTTTGTATCCTTGTTAGAGAGAGAAGAAGAGCAATGCTGAAAGGACATAAGGATTTACTGGGGTCCCCTTGCTGTCCAGCCTAGAATAAACCAAACGTCGTTATACTTCACAAGCACAGCAAAACCTCCTTAAAACAAGTTCAATAAACAGGGCAGTGGTGGTGCACACCTTTAATCCCGGCACTAGAAAGGTGGAGGCAGATAGATCTCTGGGTTTGAGGCCAGCCTGATCTACAGAGTGAGTTCCAGGACAAGGCTACACAGAGTAATCCTGGAGGGAGGGAAGGAGGGAGGGAAGGAGGAAGGGAGGGAGGGAGAGAGGGAGGGAGGGAGGGAGGGAGGGAGGGAGGGAGGGAGAAGGACAGAGGGAGAGAAAAAAAATAGCAAGAAAACGATTACTTTGCACCATAAAGGGAACAATGGGCTGACAGGAGATGAAGGAAGACTTTCAGGCCTAACCAGTCATGATCCTCAAGCAGCCTTGCCTACACAATGGACTCAGGGCTCCTAGAGGAAGTGGCTCATATTCTGGTGTGTCAAGGAAAACACAAGTAAACCATGCATATCCTGTGCCACAAAAATGCTCAAAGACCAATGCTGCCACTTCAAAAGGACACATAACCCAACTCGAGGAATCCAAATAACTCCTAGCTCAAAACAGATAAGGATTGCTAGAGAATAATGAGCAGAGCCAGTTAAAAAGCTTTACTGACATACGGACATACCGACAAAACAATAGAGGGGAAATGTAAAAACTAACACTACATTAATAGAACAAATGATACAATAGAACTTTTATAAATTTTGCTGAGGGACAATTGCCCCATGTTGGAGGCAAACCTGGGCTACAAAACAAGTTCTAGGTCAGCTAGGAATAGCAAGACCTAGCACTCAAATTTTTTAATTTTCTCCTTTTAATTCTACCATTTTGCAATTCCCAGTTTAATTCCTGATTTAGGCTAAGAATCGTTAATATATGGAAAAACAATTATTATATGGTTATTGAAGTAAAGGATTTTCACATGTTCATAAAATATGACATATTTTTAAAAGATTTAGTTTTAATTATGTATATATGTGTGTAACTTTGTACACAAGTTCAGATGCCTACAGAGGCAAGAAGAGGGCGTTTGACTCCCTAGAACTGGAGATAGAAGTGGTTGGGAGCAGCCTAACGTGGGTGCTGGAAATAGAACTCTTACACTTTTAACCACTGAGCTATCTCTCCAGCTTAAACATTATTTCAATCACAAAGGGGAATATATTTCTTTACAAATGAAAAACTGGCAGTCATTATCTTAATCAAACGGTTCACCATCACCAGAAGAAATCCTAGATACTACATGCCTCATGGGAGAGTGGTTGGCCGTCAACCAAAGGCAACCTGTTTTTGTGCAGCCAATGAGTAAAGAGTGGTTTTACATTTTAAAACAGTTGATAAAGGATCAAAGGAAAAATTAAAACACTTCATAACATGAAAATGAAATGCTTCAAGTCTTAGTGTCTATAGAGTTTCATTTGGACACAGCCATACCAATTCCTGTGTCTTGTCCAGGGCTGAGTTCTTGCTAGCACACTAATGCTGGGCAGCTGTGACAGACTGTGAAGCCTACAACACTAAACTAGTCATTATTTATCAGCCCCTGTACACAGAGCTGCTGACCTCTGCAGACAAAGTCCAAGGCTTCTGAAGGATCTGTGCTAAAACCACAATCTAGTCCCAAGAAAACAATCAGGTAAATCTTACAAAGTAGAACTCAAGATGACAGGGTGGATGATTTTAAACAATTATATAATGGAGATGGAGAGATAGCTCCATGGTTAAGAGCACTTGCTGTTCTTGCAGAGGACACAGATTCAGTTCCAAGAACCTTCATGGAGGCTGACAAACGTCAATAACTCCAGTCCCAGGAGATCTGATGCCTTCTTCTGACCTCCTCTGGCACCCAGCACACATGTGGTGCACATACATACATACACGCAAAACACTCACAAACACAGAATATAAAAAAAATTTAAAGAACACATTACAAAGATATACTTGCAACCAAATAAGGGCTAAAGTAAATAGTACTTATAAAAGCATAGCCGGGGCCAGGCGTTGGTGGCACACGCCTTTAATCCCAGCACTGGGGAGGCAGAGGCAGGCGGATCTCTGTGAGTTTGAGACCAGCCTGGTCTACAAGAGCTGGTTCCAGGACAGACTTCAAAGCCACAGAGAAACCCTGTCTCAAACAAACAAACAAAACAAAACAAAAAAACCACATAGCCTGGCAGTGGTGGCATACACCTTTAATCCCAGCACTTGGGAAGCAGAGACAAGAGGATGTCTTGTCTCAGATCAAGTCCCAGGACAGGCTCTAAAGCTAGGTGAAGGGAACAGAGGCCACACAGGTCAAAGGACAGTTTTTGAGAGTCAGTTTTTTCCTTCTACTATGCTGGTCCCAGGAACTGAATCCAAGCAATCAGGCTTGGGAGCCATTGCTTTTACCCACTGAGCCATTTGACTGCCCCCTAAAGGTTTTAATTTAATTAAGTTAATTAATTTATTTTTGTAGTTCAAGGGCAATTACATTAAAATTTGAAAGTAGAAGTGCCACCAGCACCCAGGTGGCAGAGGCAGGCAGATTTTTTGAGTTCTGAGTCTGAAGCCAGCCTGGTCTAGAGAGTGAGTTCTAGGACAACCAGGGCTATACAGAGAAACCCTGTCTCGAAAAACAAAACAAATCAACAACCAAAAAATAAGATTCTCTAGACCCATGGATATCCTGTATTTGTGCTTCTGGTCACTGACACAAAGGAGGCTTCAGTACAAACTCTCTGTCTCACAGAGACCTGGAAACATCTTAGTAAGAGCTGGTGCTACCTTTACGTGTTTCAGAAGTTCTCTGCCTAATTCACAGTCCAGTTTGACGGCAAACACAATGTGTAGAATGACGGTGCCTTCTACATGATAAAGTTCATCTGCTGGGGTGGTAACAAGTTCCAACAGCCTAGAAGATTCAATAGCAAGGTCTAAGTTAGGGTTATCGAATGCCAAGGTGCTGGGACACACAAGCATCCAACTGAAGCTGCAGAACCATGGAAGCAGAAGTTGCAAGAAAACTTACAGCAAGAATGTCTGTGGTCAGCATTTCCATTTCTTTATCTCAGACTCTCTACCCAAGTCCAACCAAGTTCAGTCAGGCTCTGACTCTCCTTACACCACCAGTACCATCACACTAGTCTTATAAGGGTCACGGATAATGTCCATGTGGCCAAAACCAATGAAGTCTCATGGAACTATGCAGCCTATACTGGCCTTGAATTTGAATTCATGATCTGTCTGCCTCAGCTCTCAAAGTGCAGGGATTATAAACCTATTTTCCTTGTCTTCTGGGACACTGCCATTGATCTCAACGTTTTCCCCATCTCTAGCTCACCTCCCCCATCTGTAAATGTCCAATATCTCAGAGCTGTTCGGTGTCTTCCTCTTCATTTCTTCCCTAGATAATTCCATCCTGTCCCTTGGCTTTAGTCCCTTCCCAATTTACATGTATATGTGTATTTACTTTTGAATAATTTAAAAATATGTATCAATTTATATTTTCGGTTCAGACTTTCACCTGCTCAATGCTCCATACAGGTTGCTAATGAGCACTGCAAATCTAATGTGGTCAGAACAGATCTCCTTACCGTCTGTGAAACCCGCTGCCAACTTAGAAACTAAGTCAACGTAGAGAACCACCTTCTCATCAACTGTGCAAGCCAAGTAACAAAGATTATTACCGACTGGGAGCAGCTGATTGCACTAGACCCAACCCTGAGACCCCTTAGCCAGGCCACTTGGATTCAAATCTTTGCTGTTATTTTCTGGCTACACAACGCAGGATAATACCTGGATTTGTTTCTTGGTTTCCATAGCCACATAAAAAGCAATGTTAGTACATGCACCTGACACAGAATAAGCACTCTGTGCACTTTTTTAAAAACAGGGAAACATCCGGGACTGGAGAGATGGCTCAGTGGTTAAGAGCACTGGCTGCTCTTGCAGGGGACCTGGGTTCAATTCCTAGCACCCACATAGCAGCTCACAACCATCTGTAACCCCCGGTTCAGGGGATCTGATGCCCTCTCTGGCTTCTAACGATACTGCACGCACATGGTGCATATACATACACTTAGGCCCACACATACACACACAAAAGAAACATTTAAAAAAAAAAAAATCCACCAGTTTTCTAAGATATGTCACATTGTGCTCTGTCTTTGTATTATTCCCAACCTGAAAATGCTCTCCTCATCAACATATGGTGGCTCTTATCAGTCAGGCTAGGCTAAAACAGAACCTTCCCAGAGACGTTTTCCCAGACCCAATCTAAAGCAGCTGTGCTGTCACTGACACATCATCCTTTCCATTTGTCACACACGACCAGCTTAAGATTCTCTTCTCACCAGAATTTAAGCTCCAATACAGCAGAAGTCTCAACTGACTGGTTCATCACTATAGTCCCAAGGCCAATGCTACCCACAGAGAAGGCAATTTGCTGTTTGTTAATTTTCTTATAAATAGATGCTAAACCTACATCTTAAAAGACAGTTAGTTATTGATACTCTCCTGGAAGGGTATGAATAAGACTTATTCTCCTACCTTCGTAACTGGGCAGCTGGAGGGGGCTACAGTTCTGAAGAGGGGACAGGAGGGGGAGGAAGCGAAGCTAACAATCACATTAATGACCAAGGCGCACGGTGGGCAGGTGGATTTGTAAAAAATGTGCTGCACTTCTAAACTCTGTTACTCACTCATCACTGCTCTGTTCCTCGCTGTGCTGCTTATCTAGCTCATTGAAGAAGGCTATTATTCCATCCAGAACACTCCTTCTGCTTCCCTAAAAATAAAATAATTATTATTATAATAAAAGAACGTTCTCCTAACTGAAGGTAAAATAACCAAGAGTTACCTAGTATAAGTTTAAATAAGTTACAACCCAGTGTCATGGTAAGAACACACAGAACACTTTCAAGTTGCAAAAGTTTGAAATACTCCACAATGCCAGGGAAACCACTTGGTTGTAGAGTGCCCAACCCTAGCTGAAACACTGTTGTGTTGCATTTCTTCCTAGATAAAATATTTCATTCTGCAAGGAAGCTCCATAAGCCTAGGTAATAATAACAGGCAAAGTCCCTGAAACTTAAGAGATACACTAGGCCCCAGCCTCCTCAAGCACATATAGGCAGCAAGGACTGGTGAGAGACACTGTCAGACCAGCTGAGTTGCTTGAAGGAGACTCTAACCTGCTGCGCTGCCTCTCCCAGTGTGCCCTACACTCCAGAATTCCAGTTTTTGTGAGCTGTCATCCATGCTGGGGTGGGCCTTTGACAATGTAGTCTTTGAGTCATTTTTGCTTCTGCAAGTAACTCTCACCCACACTCCTGAAAGCAACCCCAGGAAAGCCTGTTTCACCACGGTGGGCTTTGGTGGCATCCTTATGGGATCTGCCATTGGTTCCCTATCTGGTTTGAGCAGGTGTTTGCTCACATCTCTCTGGGAATAGTGTCACACAACAAATACTATAGTTTCTGTGCTCTCAGTGTACACACTTTCTAGGTCTATTTCTTTTACTTTCACACAAAAAATATTTTCCGCTTGGCTGAAAAGCATGATCAAATCACCACAGATGAAATAAAAACATGTATGTCTTAGTATGGAAACCAACAATCTGAAAAAGCTGAACTGGGATAGCTGCTTATGCCACAGAATTAAGAAGAATAACTGTTTTATTTGTACCTTGGAAGAGAGAACCAGAAGCTGATAGACCAAGGGTGGTATTTCTTGCAGGTTCAACTTTGAAAACATCGACAATACTTTTGCCACCACCAGATCCATCTCTTCTGTCGTTAGACGGACATCCCTGTAGAGCAGAGATTTAAAGTCTAGCCCAGAGCCTTACTGCTTTGTTTTTAGGAATTAAATGCAGGGCTTTGTAACAATTAAAATTCTATTAAACATTTTTTTTTTAAAAAATAAAATGTAGGGACTGGGGACATATCTCAGTAGGGTAAAGCATTTACTATGCAAGAGTGAGGACCAGGGCTTGGATCCCCAGGACCCATCACCTATAATTTCATCCAAGACAGGATCTCTGGATGAGCAACCTAGTTAGAATAGTTGAATCATCAAGCTATGGGATAAGTGAATGACTATGTCTCAATACCTAAGGTAAAAGATGATCAAGGAGGACACCCAACATCAACCTCTGGCCCCCACATACACCCACACTCACAATATAAGTACCTTCTCAGCAGCAAACACACACACACACACACACACACACACACACACACACACACACACACACACAAAATCAACCAATCAATCAGTTACTTAAGGGACCAAAAAGATGGCTTAATGGCTAGGAGCAGTTGCTGTTCCTCCAGGGACTGAAGTTTGGTTCCTAACACACACAATGAGCAGCTCAAAACCACCTACAACTCCAGCTCCAGGGGATCTGACACCCAATTTTAGCCTCTTCAGGCACTTGCACACACATGCACACATAAACAATAAAACAAGTCTTTAAATAAAATTTGGAATTAAAAAATAAAGAAGCTATTAGACTATAGCTGTCCTCTTTGAGTTTTCTCTTATAAATAATCTTTTAAGAGAACTAATAAATTTACTTAAGCATCTCGAAAAGAAAATCAGTCATATATTTAATAAACTAAGCCAAAATAGAGGGAGGGGAAAGAATACCATAGCAGAAAATAGAGGTACCATGATATTATTCAGAAAAAGTTGAGCTTGAGCTCACCATGTTTCAATTTCTTATAGGTGTGTTGACAAAGCTTGATGTAAAGATAACAAACAAACAATGCTTACTTGAACATAGAAGTGAGTTGAATCACGTATCGTTGAGCCCATCTGGTTAAAGACAATGAAGAAGAGTATGCGTTAATTTCATTTTAACTCCTTTACATATAATTTTATAAAACTAATGAAGAAAAAGGGGGACATTTCAAATTTGATTTTCAATACTGGGAAGCAAGATGAAACAAACACAATTTGAAACAATAGCTGGGTATTAGTGGCTCTGGAATCTTGTCCCTTTAGAGGCAGTATGAAGACCTGAAGCTCAAGGTCACCCCTTGCCTGAGACCCTGTCTTTTTAAAAAATACAAAATGAATAAATAGGACCAATAACTAGTTTTTAACTTAACAGACTAGAAAATAAAAACAGATGATAAGGTTTACACCCTAGCACCAAAAAAACAAACAGACCACTCTGATAATACCAAATATTGGTAAAACCATAGGAAGCAAGCACACTTTATATACATCTTAGAGTGTACAAGTTACAACTTTAAAAAAGCACACACTCAACAAATCAATTTATTACTTGGAACAGTTTACATACATAATTTATAAACACAGTTTACATACATACTTACAAAATGTCACTTAGGTATATAAACAGGTTATGGCAAACTTTTTTTTTCTTTTAAATAGAGAAAATATTTGAACCAGGACTGTTAACTTAGACCTATAATGCCAGTATTCTAGAGGATAAGGCAGGAGGGGAATGAATTTAAGGCTATATATTGAGAATCTGTCTTTAATAAAAGAAACAAGTTAGCTAGGCCTGATGGTGTACACTCGTAATCCCAGTACTTGGGAGGCTGAGACGGAAACAATGCCACAAAAATTTGGAGCTAGCCTGAGCTACATAATGAGACCTTGTCTCAAAAACAAAACAAGCAAACAAAAAACCCAAAGTGTTTTAAAAACAAATAAAAAACACACACACAAACGAACTAGACAATCCTCTGCCTTAACTAGACACTCCCTCGGGACTCTAAACCATATTTAGAGTCCTGTGCAGCTGCATTAAAACTAACAGTCATGTAAACTAGAAGCACATGCAGTTCTAGTATACTGAATCAGCTCTTTCTTTCCTTAAATACTTACTGCAAACCAAATGGTGTTATAATAGTATATTGTTGCTATTATTATTATTACCTGGTTTATAAATAATACTAAAGTTATTACCATAATTATGGTAATATATCATATACTGACATATAATATTTATTATGTAACTATACATAAATTTACATATAATAAAGATTCTTATATTATTATTATTTGGTTTGGAAATAATATTAAATAATAGTAAATTAATATTTGGTTTGGAAGATATAGGGAAGAAAAAAAGGCAGGCCTTTTGAGCTAAGCCTGGCAGTCAGCAGGCAAACAGGTGGTGGACAATACTGGGGAGCTTTACGGAATGAGAAAACCCAGTGCTGGGAAAGCATGCCCAGGCTTTGGCAGTAGTGTGCGCACACATCACCCCCATACACTCACACACACACATGCCCAGGCGCACACACACAGACATGCACTCAGACACATTCACATACACACAGACACATACATTGGGAAGAGCTGGTAAGCAGCAGCAGCACTAACAATGAAAGCCAGACAAAGGACCGTTTATTCCACTTTATGAGACAGGCTCAAATGTAGCTCAGGTTACTCTTAAAAACTTGCTACACAGCCGAGATGACTTTTTGTTCCTGATCCTCCTGGGTCCACCTCCCAAGTGCTGGGATTATAGGCACACACCACCATGCCTGGCTCTCAGGGTGGTATATTATAAACAACAACCATCAACAAAACAGGCAACAAAGTTTACAAATACAACCAGGGACAACAACATTCCATAAGGCATGAAGATCATAAGTTCAAAGACAGCCTAAGCTGCACAGGGAACCCCAGTCTCAAAACAACAAAATCGCCTACAGTTGTGTGTGAGTGTGTGCATGCGTGTCTAGAGACTCACCTGACAGAACACAGGCTGTCAATCAACTGCCTCTTGTATTCTTCTCCATTCAAATCACCTAAAAACACAAAATGGATGAAGAGATTTTTTGCATAATATGAAAAAAGAAAAAGCCCACAGAGCCGGAAGAAAATTACCTTTCCCACAAGTCAGCACTTCCTTTTTGGTAGCCAAGGCAGTAAGAATGATGGGAAATAACTCCAAAGATTTCCCATTCACTAGGCTGTCCTCTCTGATAGCACCAACAAACTCACTGGCTAATTCGACAAGTAATGGTCCTGGAAAATGGTGAACCTAAAAGTTCAAGGATAAAGAATATCTTAAGCAGGAATCCAACGTTTGAAACCTTTCTGTGAAGGAAGTCAATTGCTGAAATACTGAATAGTTATGGCCTCCCACAACAGGCACTGTCAGGGATTCATGGAATCATGCTGTTCTGTTCCATATTTGTAATTGTAAAGGACTTCAAAGATTAGAGTCCTCCATCAACCCCTTAATGCTTTCAAGACCTACAAGGAGATTTGTATCATGGTACTGGAAGGTAAGAGCAGTCTAAGTGGCTGGTACCTTCCTGGCCCACGTTTTAAGTCACAGATCCTCTCCCTATGTAGGAACTATGCTATGTTTGGCACTGAGCATTGCCCCTTCCACCTTACCTCCAGCATCAGCAATCCTATGATCTCAGATGCTACTTCTTGCTGCAAATCTCCTGATTCAACCAACTGGATACAGCAAGAATATACCTTGGATCTCCTAAGGGCTCCATCTTCCTCAGAGCAAGGTGAGCCTTGGTGTTTTAAACAGGTGTATAGAACAAAGGAAGAAGGAACAAAGATCAAGGATATATAGGAAAAGCAAACAAGCCTGTAATGTAATACCGACACAGTATAACGGTGCGTTTTAACAGTGATATCGAGGGGCTTTGAAGAAGTACTCAGTTTAGCTAAACAAAAGGACTAAAGTGTCACCTTCTGTTCCACTAATTTATTTTACTACATAGTGCAGCAATTTGAGAAGGGGACTTCACTTATCCACTGCTAATGCTTTATGTCAAGACGTTATTGCTAGGCTATGTCAACAAGGCAAAAAGGACAGTAAAATTCATCTCTTCCATAAGATACAAGAATACTGACAGAATTAGCCAAATTCAATTCCAGAAATTAGCCAAAACTCAACTAAAGGAGTGTCTCTGTAAGAAAAACAACCCTGACATACACAGATGGAGCACCCTTTATGCCAGCATTGGGAGGCGGAGGCAAGAGAATTGGAGTTTACAGTCATCCTGGACTACATCAGTTTAAGGCCAGCCTGGGCTAAATGAGACTTTGTCTCAAAAATTAAAACAAAGAAAAATAATTCCAGGCAATCAGTTTTATAAAGGTTCCAAATTGGGGCAGGTGGGGGTGGGGGGCAGGTATAAAGCCAGATCTCTACTTCACAACACACAAAAGTCAATTCATTGAAGATCTTAACGTAAGAGCTAAAGCAAAATCTGTGGCACACACTGTAACTCTAGTACTTGAACACTGAGGCAGGATTAGGTATTTGAGGCTGGGCATGCTGGTGCACACTTTTAATCTCAGCACTCAAAAGAGGCAGGTGAATCTCTGTGAGTTCAAGGCCAGCCTGATCTACATAGCAAGTTCCAGACCAGTTGGAGCTACACACTAAGATACTGTCTCAAAATGAATAAATAAATAAGCAAATAATTTCTTTTTAGAGAATTCTATCATAATTTATGAAGCCACTCTGAGTCACAATCCGAACATAGAGCCCTTCTTCAAGAAAGTGAAACAAACACTACATTGGAAATTAAGGCTCCATATGAGGTATGCAAGGTATTCTGTTCTATTCAAACCCAGAGTTCCCTTGCCCCTCGGTAAGTACCAGACACATCTTAGTCTCCACAATTCTAAAACACTGAATAAACCACAGCAGAGCACCCTTTACAGACCCCAAGTCAGCAACGCACTCTCAGGTTGCCTTTCCAATTCCCCTCAGTAAAGTATCTCAGTATCACACCAAGGCAAGCTCCGCTTTAGCTGATTCTGTAGAATCTCCTGAACAAAAAGGATGTTCCACTGAGGTTTCTGACAGTCAGAAAAACAGCAATGACACCCAAAGTAAACCAATTGACAGAGAGATGCAAATCACCTTTGAAGATGGCTCTCAGGAATGTTCCAACAGCTCTTCCTTTCACAGCTCGACTCTGAAGGAGATCAGTCAACTGCAACCAAAGAGACAACAATTACAAGTCTCTGGGACCTGCTCCTCTACCTACATGACCTCATTGTGCAGAAGGAAAACAGGTGCTACCAGGTTCAGGTCAGACTAAAATACATAAGTTCTCTTTTTTATTTTGATAGAGCAGCAAGATCTTAATAGAATCCTGGACCACTGACTAAAAGTTAGCCAGGCATAGTGGCCAAGACCTGAAATCCCAGCACTTTGGTTGAAGCAGGAGGACGTTCATGAGTTCTGGGCCAGCCTAGTATACATGGCAGCTGCAAGGCCAGCAAGAGCCACAGAGAACTACTTCTAAAAAATAATAAAAATTAGGGCTGGAGATGTAGCTCAGTTGGTAAAGCACTTGCCTAGTATGTACAAGACTCTGGGTTCAAACTCTTGCTCTCCAAAAACTGTGTGCAGTGACACATACCTATAATTCAGTGTTCAAGTACTGGAGTTACAGTGCTCTTGAGATGGAGGCAGGAGGATCAGAAGTCCAAGGTTATCCTTGGCTACACAGGTGTTCAATACCAGCTTGGGCTAAGACCCTGATTTAAAAAAAAAAAAAAAAAAAAAAAAAAAAAAAAAAAAAAAAAGACTAATAGCTACTCCAAAATTTAGAGCCAGATATGGTAACAGTTCATGTCTATAGTCCCAGTATTTGGGAGGCTGAGGCAGGAGCTTAAGGTCTATCTACATTACACAGTAAGCAAGAATTTGTCTCAAAATCCCAATGGCAGTTAAATTTATTCTACAAATATTTACCAACTCTTTCATTAGCACTAGGTACCGTGGCATGATTTAGAGACATCCATCCATCAACAAATACTTCTGGTGCATGCATGTACTTTTTCAGAGAACAATGTAAGGCTGGACAAACAGACATGGTCATTTCCTCAAAGTTTATGAGAAAGGGGAAAGAATGACGGAAGAAAAAAAAAACAGAAAAAAATTTTGTCAAGATGAGGAACAAGTAGCTGAAATAGACAATAACTTAAAGGAAGGGAGGCCATAGCAAATAGCAGGTAGTGTAGTCAAACCTTCTCTGAGGTAGGAAACATTTAGGCAGAGTATGGGCAGGTAAGAAAGAGTTGGCTATACATGGAGAGATAGAAACATCATTGTACCAAGGCTCCAACAGGGCAAGTGTTTGGCATGCTTGAGTACCTGAGAAAAGACCAATGTGTCAGGTGAGTGGCAAAAAAAGGAAGAGTAGCAAAAAGTCATGCTGGAGCAATAGGCAAGGACCAGAGTAAGAAGGATCCCATAGGCCATCACAGGAAGCACAGGATTCATCTAAGTGCAAGAGGAGTTGCTGATGAAAAACAAGAGATACATACTTCTTATGGAGAGAGAATGGTTTGTGGTGACTGATGAGGAAAGAGAGTCACCTACTAAGAGAAAGAGTGAATGTGTAAAGAGCAGATGAAGTCCTGAATGAATGTATATTGCTGACATGACACGGCCATTTTGAGGACCAAGGCCTTGTACCCATGGGAAACTGCCAAAGCCTTTCTGCCATGTTAGGCTCAAAAAGGCAAAATGTGGAGAATTCCTCTGGTCTAAGCACAGTGTTTACAAATGATTGACCAGTGTGTGCAAAAACTAGCAGCTGCAATTTCCTCCTCAGTATTTACGGCCTGAGACTGGTGGCCTACAGACACCTCCTTCTGTGCTGTACACAGTAAACACACTGAGGTTCCAGGCTGTTGCAGTAGTTGGTACCACTCCATCAGAGTGTGCACAGCCCACCAACTCTTTTCTGTATATGTCTGTAAGTCTGTTCTTTTTTCATTCCCTCACCACCCCAGTCAGAGTTCCAGGAGCAAGCCATGCGTGTCATGGCAAAATGGTTAGAAATTAAGGGGTAGGCCCGGAATAGATTACCACAGCCCTGGAAGGAGCTACCCCTGTCAGAGTCTTGATCTGGACTGCTGGTACCCAGAATTAGGAAAGAAACTTTACTATATAAGCTATTCAGTCTGAGGTCCTTTATAAGAGCAGCCTTAGCACACTAATATACAGGAGATGGGGGGGAAAGAGACAGATTCAAGACATATCTGAGAGGTAAAAATAGAAACCCATCAAAGTTTGAAGGTAAAGAGGAGAGATGCAGGAAAACACATCGATGAAGAATTCTTAATTTCAGACTTAAGCAACTAACTGGAGGTGGTAGCATCTAATGAAAACAGTGAAATTTGGGTTTTAGTGAACACCTACATAACCAGAGGGCTACTACAGCACACTGTTGAGCTCTACCCAGTGTCCATCTCAGGTGGTCTTTTTCAGAGCTTAGGACCTCTACTCGGAGCTATAAGGGCAAAAATGCCAAGTAGATAACTCCATCATTATTGTTTCATTTTTATAATCATAGATTTACAGTGAAGAGTCAGACATTGGCGTTCTTTTACCAATAATTTTAAAAAGATTTTTCTGTATACTAACTTATTTTCTTTAAAGAAAAACATAAATGGAGATGCATCAACAAGTAAACTAATACTTCAAATTCATAACTTCAGCCTCTATGTAGCTTCAAATATGACTGCTCTGAGGACTACAAACATGTATTGATCTGTGGGCCAAAGAGATGGCTCAGTGGCTAATAGTGCTTGCTGCTCTTCCAGGGGACCCAGATTTGATTCTCAGCACCCACATGGTTACTCACAACCATCTATAATTCCAATTCTAGGGAATCTGGTGAGTTCCTGGCTTCCATGGGCACCAGGCATGCACATGGTACACATACATACATGCAGGCAAAATACACACAGAATAAAAAAATTAAAAATACAAAAGTATAATGACTTGTATATACTCAGCTACCAAGACAATCTAAGGTCATTTCAAATTTAAAACAGATTATAAATGGCTTCAGTTGTGCTTTTAATTCTCAGCTTTTGATTTCTTTTTCTGTTTGTTTTGGGTTTTGTAGTGTTGGGGACAGAACCCAGGGCCTTTGGCATGCCAAGCAAGTCTTCTACCACTGAACTGCACCTCGGCCCTCTTTCTACTTTTTGTTTAGTCCAGGCAGGACATGAGCTTGCAGTCTTGACAGTTTCCCCAATAGCAGGATTGCAGCTTACATCTCACTGTCTACCTATGACACTGATGAGAGGATAGGCCCCAGTGTATCTCTGTGGCTCTGCAGCTGCCCCTCTCCTTCCAGCTCACGAGTCCTGTGAACTTGTCAAAGTTGGCCTTTGCTGTTAGCAGTACTCACATCATCAGTTTTCAGGGTTTGAAGAAATTCCTGCAGTTTATCCGTTGTTTTATCTGTTGCTAGAGATAAAATTTTCAGGTCCATTGCTGCTCATATCAGAGAACTGTAAGAAAAAAAAAAAGGTCACAGCTGGAAGCTTCTAGAAATAATTCATACTAGATACAGACAACACAGCAGACAGAAACCTCAAGTAGGATGATGATGCTTATCCTAATCAAGTCTTACAAATTCCCTACAAGTCTGTATGTGGTTTCATAGCTTCTGCATACATTTTCACCATCTATTCAACATAATGCTTAAAACTGAAATATATCAGATATATTGTAAATATATAGGACTATATAAGCATACAATAAAACACCATTCAACAAATAAATAAACTAACAGTATTTTAAATGATAAGCGCCAATTAAATGGTATAAAAAATAAACAAAACAGCCAGGTGTTGGTGGTGCACACCTTTAATCCCAGCACTCGGGAAGCAGAGGCAGGCAGATCTCTGTGAGTTCGAGGCCAGCCTGGTCTCTAGAGCGAGTGCCAGGATAGACTCCAAAGCTACACAGAGAAACTCTGTCTTAAAAAACCAAAAATAAAATAAAATAAAATAAAACAAACAAGTAAGGCTCAGTGTTACAGTGTTTGTAAAGCATGCACAAGGCCGTAGGTTCAATCCCCATGCCATAAAATAGGGGGAAAGAGGGGAGAAAGAGAGAGAGAGAGAGAGAGAGAGAGAGAGAGAGAGAGAGAGAGAGAGAGAGAATGAGAGCAAAAAAGGGTGTGTGTGTGTGTGTGTGTGTGTGTAGGGTGAAGATTACATGCACTGGTTGGTTAGCTCACACCCGAAGAGGGAGAGAGAGACAGGATTACGAATTCAAGACCAGCCCTCAGTTACATGGTGAGTTTGAGGCCAGCCCAGGCTATAAGAGTCTGTCTCAGCAAACCAAAGAACAGAAACAAAACGAGTAGCTAGTAACACTAAAAATGATCTCAGAAGAGAAGTCTGAACTGGAAATTAAAAGACTACTTTTTTTGTTTGTTTTTCAAAACAGGGTTTCTCTGTGTAGCCCTGGCTGTCCTGGTATTCATGCTATAGACCAGGTTGGCCTGGAACTCAGAGACCCACCTGCCTCTTCCAGGTGCTGGTATTAAAGGTGTGCGTCACCACCACCCAGTTTAAGAGACTAAATTTAGCCGGGTGTTGGTAGCGCACACCTTTAATCCCAACACTTGGGAGGCAGAGGCAGGTGGATCTGTGAGTTCAAGACCAGCCTGATCTACGAGAGTTAGTTCTAGGACAGTCTCCAAAGCCAATGAGAAACCCTGTCTCAAAAAACCAAAATAAAAAAACCCAAAGAGAGAGAGAGAGCGAGACTAAGTTTAGGTAGCCAAGACAACCAGATGGTCTACAACACTGGAAAGGAGGGTACCATAAATATGTCTGAACTGAAAAGCATATTTGGGTAGATTGTGGGAAAGGGAGACCACATAGAACAGCAAGAGGACTAAAGAAAGAGGCTGAGAAGAAACAAGATCTCAGGAGTCAGTTAAGGAATTTAGATTTTACTGACAACTATCAAAAGCACCTGAGTGACAGAGTCTGATGAGACTGGAAACAGTCTTTGAGGCACAAAGTGTTGTGTAAATCAAAGTGGGAAGGAAATATGGAAGAAACCAAGAGGCAACCTGGAGGTCTGCGTAGAGTGGTGTCTGTGCAATGGAGGGGATAAGTGGAGGCACACTGGACACAGTGCTGAGCAACAGGGAAGTGAAGAGGTAAATGCAGACTGCAGGGGGGAAAGCCTACCTGCTTCTTCTCTCCCTCCTGCTTCTCCTCCTCATATACATCAGCATCATCCACTTAGCCACTCAACACAGAAACCTGGGCAAACTCTCAGGAACTCTGCTCCCATCCTCCATATTCACTACCAAGACCTGTCATTGTCACCCACTCCCCGACATCTCTCAAATCTGACAGCATCTCTCCATCTCCATTCTGACCACATTACTTCAAAGCCACCGACATTTCTCATTGAACCACTCCAAAAATATTTTAATCTGTCTCCCTCTACACAGCAATAACAGGTATTTTTTCTAAAACAAAAACCAAATTATATATTTTCCTTCCAACATATCCTTTCCTTCCAACCTCTCCTTACCTTATCTTAAAAATGGTTTTTCAGCCAGGTGGTAGGGGCTCATGCCTTTACTCCCAGCACTCGGGAGGCAGAGGCAAGTGGACTTCTGTGGGTTGGAGGCCAGCCTGGTCTACACAGTGAATTTCATGACAGCCAGGGACATGTGAGACCCTGTCTCAAACACACACACACACACACACACACACACACACACACACACACAGAGAGAGAGAGAGAGAGAGACAGACACACACACTCTCTCTCTCATCCTAGAGCTGGAGACACAGCTCAGCAGTAGAGCCTCTACTGCTCTTCCAGAAGACCCGAGTTCCATTCCTAGCATCCACATTAGGTGGCTCACAACTGCTTCTAACTCTATTCTGGGCTCAAAGAGCACTTCCACACACATGGCAGATTCACACATACACGTAAGAAAAATTAAAATGAATCTTCAAAAAGTGCCATGGGGTCTAAGCCCATGACTAACTTGCCCACCCCCCACACAAGGAAATTAACCAGACCCAAAGTCTATACATCACAGTGAACTTTATACAGTGAGAACAGTCACTCTGAAAACAGTGGAGCTTCACATTGGATTTTACACCTTCTCTATCAAATATGTTTTTATGCACCACCAAAACCAGAAAAAATATATAACAGAGTTAAACTAGGTGACAAGAAAGGACTGTTTGCAGGAAATGGGCATTGAGTCATGAAAAAGGATATAAAGCTAATTGCTTTTCTAGTTTTATCACTCTAAGAACAATGAATTGTTTTCTGTTTTTCAAAGCCCAAAGGCCCTCCTGTTATTGGTTCTTACAAATGATTTCTCATCTGAAACAAAATAAATACCCACCCTTCCATTCTTGTTCTCTAACCATTTGGCTTCTACAAAACCTTCAGACCTCAGCTCAACCCACACACTCTCAGATGCTAGGGTTAAATGCTCTCCATTGCATCCTCTAAAAGCACCAGTAAAATTCCTTCCCCAATGTTACCAACTTTTAATACATTTTAAATTAATGGCTAGGGTCTCCTACTAGCATACAATTCCATGAGTGTATCCAGATTTTTTTTTTTAATCGTTATCTTGAGCACAGTAACAAGCATATATTAAGGACCTAACAAATACCTGATGTAGGCTAAAGGAAGTCACTCAGCTGGTAGAGGGCTTGCTTAGCAGGCATTAAGTCCTGTGTTTGACCACAACGCTACCCCAAGACTGTGTGAACCTGACATGGTAATGCATGCCTGTAATTCAAGCACTCAGGAGGTGGAGACAAGATCAAGGTCTTCCTCGGCTACACAGACTTTGTAGCCAACTAGGCTACATAAGACCCTGGCTCAAAAACAGAACGAAAGAGAAAAAGAAACAGAAACTATAAAACGAGGCAGCTAATGTATATTTTTCTATCCTAACTTTTAAATACTGTTCCGAAAATATACTAAGCGTTTAATGAAGGTTGGGCGTTGGCTTTGTATGCTATAGTAAACGCTATATAAATGGAAAACAACTCAACACATCTCTGGTGGGGGTTGTTAGCTTCTGGAGCTCCATTCTACTCACGAGTGAACCTCCTGAGCAGACTGCCTACTCTACGCAGCGCCACTGGCCTGTCTTCCCACTGACACTGGGCTCCACGCGCGACACCGGGCTCGGGGACGTCCCCGAAGGGAAGGACCAATAGGGAGAGCTGAGCGGGGCGCGCCCCGGAGAAACCCGCCAAAGCTGAGGCACCCGACCCCAGCGCAGGCACCAGGCACCAGGCACCAGGCACCAGGCACCAGGCACCAGGCACCAGGCACCAGGCACCAGGCACCAGGCACCAGGCACCAGGCACCAGGCACGGCGGGACGCACGTCGCAAAGAGACCGCCTGTCCTCCCGAGCCCACTTCCTCCTCCCTGTGCGCGCAGACCCTGGACCATCACCTCAACTTCACCGCAGCCTCCTTCCAAAATTCCCGCTCAACTCCACGCAGCCGCACTTCCGTCGCCCAGAGCAACAGGTCCCGCCCCCGCAGCTCATTTCCGACTCCCTAGCACGGTGGGGCGTACCATTCCAGCTGACAGAGTGGGGGGGACCATTCCGGAGTTCATGGTCTAAGTTCACAGCAAGGGAGGCGCGACCTGCTTGCTCGCTTTGGGGACCCCAAAGTGAGCTTGCGCGTTATGGTCCTGACCTAGCCAAGCTTTCCTTCAACTCTGTAGTACAAGCCAGTGCGGAAGGAATTGAATCAATGGCTAGCTTTGCAGGTCCTTACATTGGAAGCACCTCAAAGGCAGAGGGGGCGCTCATATTTCACATTGTCCTTGGGGAGATGAAGCGGGAACTAATCTCTGCTCCCTTATATAACCTCAACGTCTAACTGGTACTTTCCCAGAAGCAGTGAATGTCCAATACATACTTGTTAATAAACACCTGACTGTGGAGTTAAGATCAATGGAGCAGTGGACCGAGTTTCTACTTTAGATTGAGGGTACAGCTGGTGGAAAGTGCCCAGAGTCAAGCTCCTGGCTAGTTAAGCGTGTGAAGATGCTTAGGGTGGTAGAATAGAAGCAGGGGCATGTACATTTCCTTCATGTTAGGGACAGGTTGCGTGCGTGCGTGCGCGCGTGCGTGTGTGTTCACATTGTCTAACCATGTCCTTTTCAGGTGATATGTGTGTGTGTTCACATTGTCTAACCATGTCCTTTTCCGACGAGTGCCCCAGAGAATTCAAAAGAGATGAGGAGCCAAGTGTTGAAGCCTGAAATAGGACCCCTTAAGAAGCTGTAAGTTGACCGTGGCAGTGGGGACTGAAGGAGTGGGTGACCGAAAGGCCTCGGATTTGAAGGATATCAGGAGTGTGATGGGTCTACTTGCCCAGTTCTGGAAAAAACAGCTGCTGGAGTAAAGTGATGTCTTTTATGCTTCTTCCTGGGACTCTTCTGCATTTCTGTCTCAACTTTGAGCTGTGAGATATAGCTAAAATCCAGCAGCTGAGGTTGAGGACAGTTCCTGACAGGAATCCTTTACTTCACTAAAGAAACAGATGACTTTGGCAGTATGTGTAGTTTAAATAAGTTCATCAGCACCCCTGAGTTTCCATTTGTGCATCTCAGAGCACTTACTGAATTGTTTATATGAATGTCTACCCAGTAATGTGAATAATAGCATCTGTATTTTCATTAACATTAACTTGCTATGTAACTGTGGCTGGCCTGGCCACTAAGTCTGAGTATTGGGCAAAAGCCTGGAGATTTGGATGAACCACAAGACTCCTGATCCTTTTCTGAGAGAATGTCTCTCTCCTTTAGTGTGGAGCAGCCTTATATACAAACTTACAAAAACCCCAGGTCAAAGGGTTCACAACAGGATATTGATCCCAGTGGGGTGAGGTCAGGAAAACAGAAGGTATCTGTGGTTATGCTTGAAAACAACTCTTAGAGACCCCATGGGGGCTGGGTTCCAACAGGCCTTGAACTCCTAATCCTCCTGCTTCTACTTCCCAAGTGCTGGGATTACAAACGTGCCACCACACATGGTCAGCATTAACAGTGCTAGTAAGATAAAGAAGAATAGATTTGGATTCGTATCTGTAGTTTTCCACTCTGGTGCAGACTTCCTTAACTAAGCAGCTAATCTTTTTCCATTCGGCTTACCAGCTAGGTTCCCTATGTGAGCGACTAGGTAGATACTCACTAGGGGCTCATCTGTAATCCCAGTGCTGGGTCGACAGAAACAGCAGGTCTGTGGGGCTCACTGACCAGCTAGTGTAGCCAACTTGGCAAGTTCCAGACCAATGAAAGACAGACCGACAGAGAGAAAGAGAGAGAGAGAGAGAGAGAGAGAGAGAGAGAGAGGGAGGGAGGGAGGGAGGAAAGTGGATAGAGCCTGAGGAATGCAACTGGAGGTTGCTCTCTGGCCTGTATTTGCACAGACATACATGCACAGCTAGCTACAAATACAAACATGTGCACACATCTACACACATTAAAGAAATAACAACAAAAATGTGCCTGCCTCTACATTCGATGATGTCTTTCCTGTGTGAGTACGTATGAGATTTCCTGGGGAAGACACTGCTTTGGGAATGATCCCCAGTGAGCTCCTTACTTGCTACAAATATGAACCTCTGTGTTCCTCTATTTCCTGGTTGTACACAGAGACTTTGCACTCACCAAAAAGCAGCTTCATTACACATACACATTACACATATCATATAGATATGATAAGATAAAAGGTTTGGGATTGATATACCCAATACTAGAAAATATAGCCAGCACCAGGTATGGTGGCATGCTTCTATCATCACAATTGGGATGAGGCTGATGCAGGAAGACAGAGAATGATATAGTGACATCCTGCCCCAAAAGCAAAAATTAAAAAAAAAAAAAAGAGCTGGGTAGTGGTGGCACACACCTTTAATCTCAGCACTTCGGAGGCAGAGGCAGATCTCTGCGAATTCCAGGCCAGTCTGGTCTACAAAGTGAGTTCCAGGACATCCAGGAATGTTATACAGAGGAACCCTGTCTCGAAAAAACAAAATAAACAAATAAATAAGTAAATTTAATTTAAAAAAAAAGAACTAGAGCCAGTTAAGAGCAGGTTTACAGTAGTGGAGTGTAAAGAGCTTTCAAGGTTAGCAAGAGGTAATGAGAGCTTAGCAATGCTATAGAACAAACATGGTAAGAGTCCAGAAAAACAGTCTGAATGGAGGACTGATGTTGTTCCTGCTCTGCAAGGGACTCTGTGCACCTACTGTGGACACCCACCCTGAAGATTTACCATCTGTCTTCCCCACAAAGTCACTCCTCGGCCACCCATGGAGTGCCTCACACACTGGTGGGCCCACTCTCCAGACGATGGACCTCAGAAAAAGGCCTGCCATAGATTGGCTACAAGCTTGAGGACGTCTAAAGAAGTACTGCAAACATGTTCTAAAGAGGACACATGACTCTGGGAAGGGCATGACCAGAGAAAGGCCAATGAAGTATATATTGGAAGTCCGTCAGTAACCTGGGCTAAAGAGCAGCACTGCTTGGGAGACTTGGCAAGGAAACATAAAGAGCCACACTTAGAAGCACTTAACAGTGTTGACTTGCAGCAGTCTCAAATGTAAAAGAAATGCAATCGGGGGAATGAGATGTAGCTCCATTGGTAGAGTTCTTACCTAGCAGGCATGCAAACCCAGATTCCATCTCCAGCACTGCTGTCTTAGTTAGGACTTCTATTGCTGTGAAGAGACACCATGACCACAGTGGGACTGGCTTACAGTTCAGTGGTTTAGTCCATTATCATCATGGTGGGAAGCATGGCAGCAGGCAGGCAGACATGGTGCTGGAGAAGGAGCTGAGAACGCTGCATCTTGATCGACAGGCAGCAGGAAGTGAGCTGGCTTGAGCTTCTGAGACCTCAAAGCTCACCTTCTAAGACACACTTCTTCCAACAAGGCCACACCTAGTTCAACAAAGCTATACCTCCTAATAGTGCCACTCCCAATGGACCAAATATTCAAACACATGAGTCTATGGTGGCCATTCCTATTCAAACCACATTCCATCCCCTGCTCTGCCATAGGCTTGTAGTAGTAACATAATGCAGAAGTGCATTCAGTCCAACTTCAGAAGTTCCCAAAGTCTAAAACAGTCTCAAAGTGTTTTAGGCAGGGATCTGACTTTCTAGTGACTAGGACAAGGTCATAGCGAGCACGTGTTCTGTCATGGCTGCCAAAATGGGGGGCTGGTCCCTTCAGTATGTCTCTTGGAGGTGGTTTTGAAGGGACCAGCTCCCTATTTCAGCAGCCATAACAGCTGGACACGTGCTTTTCTGAACTTGCCTTGGTCATTAGAGGTTAGGTGCCTGCCTCATGGCAAGGAACCAATCAGAAGTTAGCTGGTGGTGCTATGCTTTACAGCTCTGGGTGTGCTTTACGGACAAGCTCACAGCAATGACGCACAGAGCATAGCAACCACCCTGGGAGGGCCTGTGGTCCATAACAACCAGTTGGCCAATCAACACAGGGAAAGCCCTCCAATCCTGGAGGAACACCAATCCTGAGCCTGTGCGTACCCCTAGACACTCCCCTTACGCTGCCCTCCAAGATCTCTCGGCAGCCGGTTCGAGATGTCTTTGCTAGCCATCCGCCATGGTGGGTGGTTGAAAGACCCAAGCCAACATGGGGTTAGCTCGTTAAACAATAATAAAGCCTCATGCAGTTTGCATTAAGCTCTCGAATCTGCCTGGTGATTGGGGTTACCGTGGTCCTGGTCTGGGACCCTGGAGGACTGAGTTTTCTGGGGGTCTAACAGTTTGTTGCTAAACACAGTTTCCAGGTACTTACTAAGTCTAAGAGGAAGGTTGTCTTGGAGTTTTGTTTCGTTTTGGCCCTAGGCCTGTTACATATAACACTGTCTCCAAGAACTAAATCTCCTGGAGACTAAGGGAGAGGGTGGACTGGGCTTGAAGCCTTTTCGAGTTTAGTTTAACCCTTTCACATCCTTAG